TCCAGGTTTGACATGTTTTATTGCCTTTTTTTCACTTCTGTATAGAATCACATACTAGAACACTTACACTTGCAGCTCTAACTTTTTTCTCATCTTTGTGCAAATCAGTCTGAAGATATCCATGTACAAGCGCTTGTGTAGCGTCTTGGAGTGCCATCGGTCCCCAGACGCCCCTGAAGCGCTCAGGATGGCGTGTGCTGAAGCTCTGTGTGTGGCTGGAGTTCCGCTAATGAGCCTGAGAGAACACAGCACTCTGCCTGGCATCATGAGCAGGTATGAGGGAAGTCAAATATTGTTAATCAAAATGAAACACAAACATGAACGGAAACTAAAAATGTTGAATCATTCTGGTTTAGGTTGATCAACACAGGCCTGTACTTGCTGCAGGACCAAAGCCAGCCTGTGAGGATGAAAGCGGCCTGTTTTACCTCCATGCTGCACCATGTGAAAAGAGGAGAAAGCCAGGGGAGCGTCTACCTTATGCAGGTCAACCAGGCTCTGCCGCTCCTATTACACCTGTTGCTGGAGGAATGCTGGGATACTCCTGGCACACTGGAGGTGCTGCTGTGCAACCTGCCTCAGTCTGACCTCAGATCTGTGCTGAGAGATGCCTCAGAAACGGTGTATGTTCCCTTACTGAATCAATAGACTAGTACAAACAGAGCAACCATGATTGAGTGTTACTGAACTGTTTTTATTGCTCTCTTTTTCAGGTGTTCTAGTCTGTATGAGCAGGATGAGGCCAATGTGTTTGCAGAGCCCTCTGTGATGTCTGCACATGTGCTGCCTTACCTGCTGCAGATGGCTGAAAAATCCTCTGAATCCTCTGCTTTGGCACAGAGCCTGAGTGCATGGGCAGGGGAGAGTGCTGCACAGGTGCTAGACAGCCTTGCAGTCTGCAAAGAGCTCCAGCCAGGTACCACATTAGTCATTGTCTGAATTAAAGAGTGTGTTTGATAAATTCATATGTGATGTCTAAATTGTCTGTGTTACAATGCGATTATTTTTTTCTTTCTCTAGCTGAGACATTAACCCCGGCCTGGCTGGCTCTCCTCATGGACCCTCGTCTCCACAGCACCCTTTGTGGTCTGGTCACCAGGGCTGCCTTTCTTCTCCGGCTGGTGAAAACATCCGATGATGTACAACACCTTTGCAATCCTTCGTCCCTGCACACAAGTTTACAGGAAGTTTGTCGTCTTCTCAGTCAGAACGGTGTCCACTTTCCCTCCGCTTTAACAGCTGCTGTGGCTAGAGAGCTGCCGCTATGACGGAACGGAGGAGCTTATCCTGTACACTCAACAAGCAAAGCCTTTTGGCCGATGAGGCCCAGGATGAAATTACCTGTAGATATTCCAGGAATCCTCATGCATCATCTGAATGTGCAGCGTTGGTCTTGAATGAGTGTTCAAACTGCTGATGCTGCAGCACACCAGCACTTGGCAGGCTGACTCAGTTATGTAAGCAGTCTGTGGCTTCAGTCAGCTGTGTCCATCATCATATTACCTGTACAGGGAAGAGACCCAATGGACATTAAGTGCAATTTGTACAACAGTTGTTCTTTACAACCTCTAGAGGTCTATTTTTGCTGCAATGCTTTTAAATAAGATTTAAATAAGACTTTATAATATTACGTTTTCTGAGGCTCTATTCCTTTTTTGAATAAAGTGTTTTTTATGCAGAGGTACAGCCACCAGAATAGTTCCAGGTCTGTCTTCATGATCCCCTCCACCCCAACAATATGCTCATTCTTATTCCCAGAGCCGTGCTCCTTGTCCTTTGTTCTGTAAGTTTGTTTGCCATTACTCAGCAGCAACAGTAGCAGGCCGCAGACTGGTGTAGTGATGTAATGCAACAGCATCAGGAGAAATGATCTGCTTGGTGCCCAATGGGGGAATATAGTGTACGGTTTAATGCTCCATTAGAGGCCTTCTGCCTGGATAAGTATCCATTTTCCAGCCACATGAGGGCTGAAGATGATTGACTGGATCTGATCAGTTGCTCCGCAACGTGCCACACACTAGAGCAGTCTTACATCATCAGATAGCCCACTGCTTTTGTTTGAGATGGGCGGCTCTCAGTATTACACAAACATCGACATGAAACAGTTTGTACATGCTGTGGTTGGCTATGCTAGGCTATTGATTAAACATACACTGAAGTTTTTATGTATCCTCACAACTAGAATTTCTTATATATATGGTATTGTCGGAGGTGATTAAATTCTCAGGATCTAAATCATCAATTTATCAACATCTGACAGTAAACCAGCAGAGTCACAGTTTTTTTTACTTTTTACCGTTTATGCAGATGTATATGTTTATCCGGTACCTCTAGTTCAGTTTAGGTTTCCATTGTGTATGCATGAAGCATTGTGCTTGTGAGCATCTAGATTATGCAACAGTTGTGACATCAAGCTTGTATGAATGATTCATACATAATGCTAATGCAATGTATTTCCCTATGACCCACGCCATAATTAACACCTGGTATGCAGAGCTCTATGAGATTAATGTGTGCCTCAAAGGAAACTAAAGGCGGTTCTTGTCATGCTCTTGACACAGAAATTCTGTGTCAAAACATGACGCACAAAACAAGGTAACACTAGATAATGAAAGTTATAGGGCAAAACTGAAATCAACATTTTTGGACAAACCTTGGATCATCTTATCAAGAATCCTTGCAAAGTTTGATATGCCACCCCCACAGTATGCATTTATTGATGAAACATTTCTGCTGCTGACTGTACGGATGTTGCCAGAGAAAAACAAAGTTTCATAGATTCACAAGTAATTTAAGACAAACCTTCACAGCACCTTTAGAATACAAATGGGGGCTTGAACTTTACTCTGCGTCACGAGGCAAGAAAGACATGGCAGAATTTTGACTTGTCAATATGCCTGAAAACAAAGGATTAATTTTAAATAAAAAGACAGTAATTTAACTTTTTATTCATTTATAAGCCTCTGCTTTAACAATGTGTGCAATATTGTGTCTTCTGCCTCCTGCATCAACATTGAAAACAAAGACTGAGAAGTGAGCTTAAAAGCAAATTTCTGAAGTTTCCTGAAGGCAGAGTGTGTATAAATCTGGGAAATAACCATCTGGCTTAATAAAAGCCTTTGCTATTCTTACTGAGAGTCTCTCAGTAAGCCTGTGTCCTGCTAATTAAATGATTAACTATGGCAACAGGGAACAAGGCCAAGTAGGTAAAAGCACTTTTATTGGGTGTGTGTATGTGGGTACATGCATACCAACATGTGTGCACCATTTGGAGCATGAAGGAGTGTTTTTCCACTAAAGTATCCAGAAGATCTTCAAGGTTCAAAAATAGGCAAATGTCTTTTATTAAATAAACAGAAATAATAAATCATTTTAATAAATGAATTCCTTAAGGCTTTTGTAAGTTTAAAATGTGCATTTATGCTGAATATAATAAAGTGAACTATTGAGGTTGTTATTCTGTTAAAGTGTTTGTTTGTCTTTCATATCATCAGTGCAAAGCTTTTGTAAAGCTTGAAATCCCCACTAAAGCATATTGTCAACAAAGCACTCTCCCTACCAGCATTGCTCAGCTGAAGTAGTGGACAATGTAAATAATCAGCCCTGTACATTGTGAAGCCTGAAATGACAGCACAATGTAGGTTATTGTCTTTTTCTCTGTCATGGCATATTTTGGTGTGCAAACAAGAATTTCACTATTCTGAATATGAAAATAATCCTCAACTGTGTCACAGATTTAAGTTTCCACTCCTGACAAAACGTCTGAAATCCAATTGATGAAATGTTGCCTAACTCTGGTATTCACTGAATCAATCGACTTTAGCTCGGTTTAAGTGGTTGTTGAAGCCCATTTCTCGTGACACATAGATTCAGATTTATGAGACAGTAAGTCCATTATGGAAAATCAAAATTATGATTATAGATAATTAAATCAATTATCTTCAGCAACTTCACCAAATCCCTCAATATCAGCTCAATTAGGAAGTTATGGAGGCCAATTTCTGCCAAGAAAAGGGAAAAAAAGACCCATAAATGTTTTTTTGCTGGAAATGAGCCTCCATTTAAAATTAGTTGGCGCAGTCCTAAATGTGTTTACCATGCAATGCTCTACTGACATATGGTTTGACCCAGTGCATGCTGGGAGAGGCTCCTGCCCCCTGTAACCCTGAATAGGCAGAGTGTGATGGAGAGTGCCGGACAGATGCTGCGTGTTTGCTCTAGTAATTGCCTGAAAACTGGGTGAGCATCTATTTGAAAAGTGGCTTAGTGAGCATTGACTGACTCAGGCGTTGGCTGCCCTCTTTACTGGTCAGCCAACAATGACACAGGGCCTCTATGCTTCGAGTATACAGCTCCCTGTGCACAGGCAGATAGAGGAAAATACTATTGGCAGCTGTCCTTTATCAGCCTCTGTAGAGTCCTCTTCTGAACAAGGCTAGTGGAAAAACAGGCCTCATGGGGTGAAGAAGAAGCCTGGGAAGCAGGAAGATTTGAGTTTGAACTGATGCACCAAGCACTGAGAGCCAGATAAGACTCTGCAGATGGATGGGGATTAGCCTATAAATGGAAAGTAGAGACTCAGTGTATTTTTAAAATGAAAATGGAAAGCAGAGCAGCTATTCATAGGCAACCACAGAAAATGTAATAAGCATGGAAATTATTGTTGGGTAGGGAAAAGGGGAAAAAAAGTTTTGAGGACGGGTGATAGAAGTAACCATTTGCAGCTTGAATAAAAATGTGAATAAACTTTTTGACTTTCCATGCCGACTTGTTTTGACGATGTGTTTATTCTCACAAGGCTGCATGCCATGATAAAATGCCAGACTGTTTTTTAAAGATTTCAGCTTTCCTCTATCTGTATGTGTGTGTGTGTCTGTGTGAGAGAGCGAGAGAGAGAGAGAGAACCTGGTGAGGCGTTAGGACCTTGAGGTCTGTACTGCAAAGGGCAGCACCTCCTCCTCCTCCTCCCACTGAGGGCTGTTTATGAAGAAAGCTGAGCTCCTCTGACAAAAACAAGGGCTGGGACTCCAGCGATAGGAGCAGTGTGTCTGAAGCACATTCAGCCACAGGCTCTTCGTCCATTTTGTACCTGTTTTTAATTTGTTTTCTCGATTTTGTTTTTGAGAAAAAGGCACAGTAGCGCACCATGCTGTCGGTGAATTCAGCCCGTCAGCTTTGCAAAATGTTCTCTTTGCACGTTGTTTTCCTGAGCGTGGCTATTGTGGAGAGCAGTGCGTCAAATGGGAATCAAAAAGGTAACATGACACATTATGGACTACTTTTTTGTATTTAATGAATCATTCGTTGTAAAAAAAAAAAAAAAAAAAAAAAAAAAAATTAAAAATAAAAACTATATACAGTTTATTATAATTACACTTCATTATCATTTTCTCCCTTCTTCTTGGTTGCACAATGACTCCGATGTTGTGCTCACATGCTGTGTTGTTATTCTCAGACTGCATGAGCTCCAGTGGTGTGGAGTACAGAGGGGAACAACAGAGCTCCTCCTCAGGTCTGACCTGCCTAAACTGGACCAACACCACTAGAGACTATGATGTTAACATCCATCCCGATTCACACACAGGTAAACAATTTACATTAATGTGAGCGTCCCATTGAATAATGGATGAAGTTGTGTTTCTTCTGTCATGCTGATGGTTTGAAAATGCCACTGATGTTGATATCCTTTACAGAATAACAAACAACTCTCAATATCATTGTTGAGATGTTGATACAGAGTAATGATATGGCTTACAGGGATGGTATTTACAGCCCTCACTTCAGCTACTGCGCCACAGATTTGGGGTTTTAACTGGTTTCTTTTATACACTAGCTGCTGTTTCCTGTCTTTGTGCTCACGGCAGCTTGTTCATTGTAGTGTGACGAAGTAGTCTTAATGATTAATGAATCCAGTGGTTTACCCACACAGCAGGACAAACAGACAGACAGAGATAGGCCTGTATTTCCATAAGGCATCAGTAACAGACATGTGCTGTTTTTATCGTTCCTCCTGTAGGTGTGGGAGATCACAATTACTGCCGAAACCCAGACTCCTCTGAGAGGCCTTGGTGCTACATTGCTGGCCCAGATGGGACAGTCCAGAGACAGTTCTGTGCAATTGACACATGCAAAGGTAGGTAAACACTGTACACACACTGTACACACACTGTATGGATTGTGTAGTTGGAATTTCTACAAAGAAATTGGATATTTGTAGAAAAACAGGCAGAGCCCCACCTGCAAGTGTCCAACTTGGCAAAGATAAATATGTATATTCCAGATTAATGACAAAACAACACTGAATTGCGGATTTTCTCCCAGAATGCTCTGTGAGATTTTCCAGACTATGTTCCCTTGATGCTGCCGGCAATTACTCTCTCTTCCCTGTAAAGCTCTCATTATTTTAAAAAGTGGGCTATGCTAGAGGAAAATAATGAGGTGAGATGTTTGTAGCTCTGCAAATCTTCTAATTAGTCAACAAAAAAAGACGGGAAGCTTGATGAGGGAGGATGCAGCCAAATTTTAAACTTTGGGTCAACCAAAAAAGTTTTAAATAAGTTCTTGTTGGTGTATTTTTACTACAAGTAAGTCATTGTTCAGAGATGGATTACTGATTATTTACATGTGTTTTCCCATTTAAGAGTATATGTAGAAGGTCAGTTGGTCAGGGTTAAATCACCGTAAGAAGTCTCGTCTACTTTGCTTTACTTTGTTTCCTCCTTGTCTGTAAAGCCAACCCAAGTCACACAATAACAATGCCCTGCAGTCACATGTCACAAAGTTACATTTCAAGAAAGCCGTTGACCACGCCCCAACCTGCGCTCATTGGCAGAGTGAAACAGTCTTTCCCTTGGAGACAGCATCTAATTGGCTGCTTCAGTTTATGACTTCATGCCCTTTAACTCCAGCACAGTTCGTAAACAACAACTTGTGTGGAGGAGATGGAAAAAAAGAGTTCAGGACCAGATGTTGACATCTGCAGCCGAACCTTGCTATTTCCTGAAATAGAGTCGAGCATGCAGAGCCTGTTTATGTCTCACACGTATGGGGAAAAAAAAACACGTGCTGGCCAATCCTCTAACTGATTTATGTTCCAGCAACTTCATAAAAGCAGTGTCAGGGCTTTCTCCCTGCTGTAGAGGATCTAGTTGTGTCAGTGGTAATGTTATTAGACCAGCAGTAATTGGAAACCCTGCGGCCCAGATGATGCACTTCTAGTCAAGTCAAATAAAGTTTGAGTGTATTTTATGTGCATTATGACAACGAGTGTCACCACACACTATACAGATAAAGATAAGTCAGATAAGCTACTGTGCACATAAATATAGAGTGAATATCTGTAGTGTGATTACCTCTGCGGGCTAAACGGTTCAGTGTGCTTAAACAGGCATGGAAGGAAAAAATAATGTCATTTAAAGAGATAGATGAAATCTTCCGTCTCGGCATATCCTAGTTTATATTGTGGTATCAATATTTGTGGAAAATCAATTGATAAACAGTTTATGGACAAAATAAGCTGGCAAACACAATCTGTGTGGCTAATTCAGCAAATTGAATTCCTGCTCAGTGATTTGCAACATAACCCACAATGGTCTCATACACACTTAGATATTAAAGGACAACAGCATAAAAGATATTGCAACATCTCTGACAATGTACAAATTCCTAAAGTTTTAATTTTGTCCAACTCTGTGTGATCTCACATACAGATTTTACTTTAATGTGTCTCGCACTGACAACTCATTTAACACAGTCGTTTAACACTTGCATTGTTGAATTGTTTCTTTAGATCAAGCCTCTACTGTGCCAGCAAAGGCCGAATCCCTCAACCCATCAGGAACTACTCCCTCCGCAGAGAGCTTTCAGCCAGCCAAGTCAGGTCCTTCTCAGGGAGAGGTTGCGGCCGTGCAGCCAGTGATGGGAATCAGCCAGCGGGTGCGCACAGGACCCAAAAAGAAAAAGGACCTTGGCACTCTCGGTATGCTGTAGTTGTTATTACTCTGAAAACATGAATGATTGGCTGTATGCACTAACCTGCAGTTTAAATAAATCCTAATTATAACTTATGCATTGCTACATGAACTGAATATCCCAATATGTTTAGTTTTTAATCTTTTATGTTCTCCTTTTGTTTTTCAGGCTACGTCATCGGCATCCTCATGATGGCAATTATAATCATTCTCGGAGTGGGAATCACATTGGGCTACTTCTATAAGAGGTCAGTGACTAAATCACAGCAAAATTATCCATCATTTGGTTCAGTATTAGAGGGATGTTATGAAAGAGGACCAAATGTAGGGCATCACTTTTTTTTAAGAGGCATTTAATATGTCTCCAGGATGTGCTGCTTCAGAGCCTTCTTGTGTCTTTCTGTTTCCACTGGCACACATAGTGTTGTTGATAGCTTTTAAGATGTGCATGAAAAAGCGCAGTATGATTAGTTAAACACATGTGATAGCTTGCATGTTAATGGTCTCTTGAGTTTAGGGCATCAGCTGTTGTTCACATTCCCCAGTGATGCTCTGTGTTGTTCCACTTGGGTGTGAAGCAGCCATATTAACGCCTTTATCACAGCAACCACAACAGAACATGTGGAGGAACATGGCAGGAAAAGAGATGCCCGCAATCTATTTTTAGCACTCTTATTTAAAATTCTTGAAAGAGAAGAGAGCGTGGAGGATGGGTTGGATTGGATAGGATAGAGAAGCCTGCACATTCACTGCAGTTATGTAAGATACAAAATGACATCCCCATTGTTGTGAAAGAGGGGACTCTGATTCCCTTTGGCACAGCACAAAATGCCCTTTCAGATCTGTGTTTGGCTCTCAAATCTGATTAGCAGTGCCCCTGTCTTTGTTTTCTATTCTTAGGAGGTGATTATTAATCAGGAGGAGCAGCATATTATGTCAGAGGGTTTATACCTGCCCTCAGCGTACAGTGACATCACCTTCGGTTAATTGGTAGTAGCCCATATTCTGTGCAAATTAAACTGCCCCTCCACTGACCTGAAGTTGACTCTTTTCACTCCAGAGGTTCATACTATAGTTCCATTGGGAACAGGCTCTCGACCAACCTGTAGGAGTAGGAAGTGTACCGACAAGGGGAATGCACTGCTTCATTATGTTATAATATAGCAGATTATCTTGCAGTCTTTTAACACCTCTCTCAGGAAACATCTAGCTTACCACAAAGACTCAAAATGGGGTAGTTTGCCAGGATACCAGCTCCAGGAAGTTTCCGGTCCTGGCCAAGAAATAGTCTGGCACAGACCCTGCAAAACAGCAAGTTGTTGCTCTTACACGTTTTTGCACAGATTGAACAAGCAAGATACAACATGCTCATTGGTGAGCGTTATAGATGCTGGTAGGTAGATTCTGTGACCTATTTACAGAGCAATGCCAGTCTCTGTGCTAACCTAAGCTATGGTAACTAACAAGAAAGAAGAGAGCAAAAACATGTCTGTGAAAAAGCAAAGAGATAACCCCAGATATGCTTGAAACTTGAAATGAACCACACCCGAGTGGAAAGAGTAGGCGGTGATACACAGCGCAGGGTTTTGCAATATGCTGCACTGAAGCAGGCAGGTGTTTTTGAATCCAAGAGTATATTTGTCTGTTTTGGCTCCAGATCAGTAGAAAGCAGCCTCACACTGCTTCCCATCCCTGTGTTGCCTTGGAGTAGATAAACTGCTCGCCAGCTTGTCAGTTCTCTGTTCCCTTTCACCATCTGTCCCTTGTGTTTGCTGCTGACCAGGCACTTGTTATAACTGGCTCTGTTATCTACATACAGTATGTTATCTGAAGCTCCTTATCTTGAGTATTTAGCTTTGGTTGGCCCCTAAAAATGCTTCTGTACGTAGTATCAGCTACAAGTACTGCATCATTATAGTAGCAACAGAAAAGAGCAAAATAAGACATGGCGCTGATTGCCCAATAGGCCAAAATAAATCCATTATGGCAGGTTTTGAGATTTGCAACAGCATAATGAATCTCTGTTGTGTGTTTGTGTTTAGGGGCCGGGACTTAAAGAAGCAGCATGAACAGCGAGTGTACGAGCGCGAGATGCAGAGGATCACCCTGCCCCTGTCGGCTTTCTCCAACCCCACCTGCGAGCTGGTCGACGAAAACACTATCGTTATCACGGCGGAGCATGAAACGACCCCCATCCAAGAGAGCGTTGAGGGCGGGGACCCTCTCATGGGCCAGCAAGCCGGTACGCCCGGAGCATGAGGGGGCATGTAGTCCTCAAACGGGACTGCGATACGTTTTTGTGGACCAAAACACTTTCATCTTCGTCTCTCCTGTCTGCCTCCCTGAGTAACCTCTGTTTTAAAAGGAGTAGGGGAGCAGTGATGGCTCCAAAGAGTTGAACTGAATGCTGTGTCCTTTTACTTTTGTTCTTTATATATCTGAGGCACAAACAAGATAAGCTGACACACAATGGACACACTCCTAACAACCAGAAAGCATTAAGGGGAATATGTCATGAGGTCTTTAATATTCATATTTGATACATTTGATAGCTAAGAAAATAAGGTAATGGGCTGCCCCCTTAAATAACAGCATGAATATCTAGTCAAATGGATGTTGACTAGTCAGTGTTTCTAATGGTGTGTGATGAAACCAATCATTTATTAAACAAAATTGTGTTTTTAATGGGGGAATGTTCATAACCTTTGGTTTTTTAATGTTTCCATGTGGAGAAGGTGGTCTCCACAGGAGATGTGTGGTTACATGACGAATATGCGATTGATTTTTTTTTTGTATAGACCCGCTGGCTGTGCTGAGGAGACGCGGAGAAGAAATGTGTGTGTATAAAGACTGCTTTGTCTTGGCGACACAGATGTGTCCAAAAATAGTCATCCTCCTCTGAGACAGGATGGGGGGAACATGAGGTAAAACAGGCCCACTAAAGACAAGGGAAATTGCCTTAGCATGATACTTCTGAATGTATTTGTTTATCTTCCCGGGTGGGTTTTTTTTCTCTTTGTACTCAACTGACAGGGCCAATGCGGTTACAAAGCCATTGATGGCCATTGGCAGACATGAAAGAGGACTTGCCCTTTTCTTCCACAGGTTAAGGAGTGACAGGAAATTTACAGAGTGCTCTCAGGAAGCATGAGAGACAGTAGTTAGTCCTCAGGACAAAATAGCACTGCCACAGCACAGAACAGATGGCATCAGAAAAAAAGCCTAAAGTCTGTCTATGCAGAGCAGGACAGCGGGCATGTTGAAGTGCTGAAGAAGCCTGGTGCCTAGATTAGATTCAGACGTTTGAGTTATGCACTTGATGCTTCAGGGTAGAGACAGGGATGGAGTAGAATAGAAACAGTCCAAAGTTTGGTGTTGTTCATTCAAATACATGAATGCATGTACATGGTTACCTGCTGTATGTTTGTGTTCAGGGGCCATTTCTTTGCATCTTTAAAAAAAGTAGAAACTACTGAGTGAAGAAGACAATTTAGAAGATACCTGCCTGAAAATAGAAATCATCATACACAGAAGATTTTTTGGTTTTGTTACACATGATGCATCGTTACTTTTCCAGTGTACAGTATTGTTGGTTTGTTTGTTATCACTCCAGATGTTTTGTGGTTTTTGCTGGATTCCACGTCACTGGTAATCTTTGGTTACTGCTGCTCCATTATTTTAAGCGACTGTGTGCTGGTTGTAATTATTATTTTCCTCACGTAAGCAACGTGTTCAAAATAACAAAATACTGTTGTTCAGCATTTGAATTTAGTACTTGTTATTTGTATAAATGCACATTTTCACTGCTGAGACTGAAATAAAACATCAAACAAACACTTTGATGTGACGTGATTTGTTGTTGTGCCCAGTGGAACAGCATAATACAGTTATGTTATCTGAAGGTTTGTTCACAGTTGAAACTTTTTTTTGCACCAGCTCCCTCTGTTGGCGATTCTTAAATACATCACTTCAATCATTGGAGTCACAAGAAAGCAGGTTAATAAGGGAGGAAGTACAAGTCCGAGGATAAAGATCTGAAGAGGGATGTAAAAACAAACTCACAGCTAAAGTAGAAAAACAACCTGTTGGCAGTGAGTAAGGATCTCTAGAAGTTCTTCAGCACACACTCTTTGATAGTGACACACTTCTGATTTCTATTTATTTTGAATCGCTGTTATTTGATGATCAACAGCTCTACTCCAATGTGCTAAAAGTAGCAGATATGAATTAGTCAGTGAGAACTGCTATTAGGGCTACAAGTAATTCATAATTAAAAAAACTATTGTTATTAAGCTAATTTATCATTTACTCTATAAAATGTGAACATTTGTCTTATATGTCTTAAATCTTAAGTTAAAAATTAGTCTTTAAAAATGTTCAGCGTAAACAGAAGCAATAAATTAATTGCATGACAAATAATAAAATATGAATGTCATTTGAACAGAGTCCTTAAAGCCCCTCTTTAAGGAACACCCTGATCGGGCTTGTTCAAGGGCCCCTCAGTGGTGGTAATGAGGGAGGGGCATGTACTGCCTTTCACTTTCCACACCCAAATTTTTCCTGTTGGTCTGTAGGATTGAACCGATGAACTTTCAGTCACAAACTCACTTCTCTAACCTTCAGCCCACCACTGCCTCCTTGTAGGAAAAACAGATGAAGTAAATTTTATCATGTATAACAGAAGAGAGTAACAGAAGAGCAACAGTTTTACTGACATCCAAATGTAAGAATGACAACAAAAAGCTAACTTTCAGAAGGTTTATTTATGAAACACTACAATGATATAAATAATAGTGGTTACAACTGGTCGTCAGTACCTTGCATGATGACAGCAAAAAGGCAAAAACGTCCATCGTTGACGAAATGTCTACAAATCTACAAATCTAGAGTTCCCATTAGAAAATGACATCCAATTAGAGGCACACTATGTACATATTTATATACACTGCTTAAGAAAAAAAAATCCAGTTCTTCTGTACAAAGCAACCTTTTATGTTCAACTCTTGCATGACAAGACTACAACAGAGTATTAGGGCTAGGCATAAGAAAAAAAAAATAGAGAAGTTTTTTTTAAATTTTGCTTTTTGAGAATAAAGTCAAAATGTCGAGAATAAAGTCACCTCCTTCCTGTGTGTCTGTCAAAATGCAAAATAAAATAAAAATCTTCCTCCTATCATAAGTAAATTTCATTTTACTTATGCGTGGTCCTAATACTTCTTCGTAAAAGTCTGACAAGTATTGAGAACAAGCTTCTGCCCTGCTTTTTAAAAATAGGCATCAGGTGTTTGATAGGAACGTGTGGCAAACTAATTAAATTGGTGTTTATTCATCATTCTAAGAAATGAATCAAAATCATTAGACTACAAAGTACAGAGCCATACTTGTAACCATCTCGTCAAAAATTTGATCAGTGGTGCTGAGATGGAAAAAAAAAACAATCCTTCGCCATCTGTGTCAAATCTCAGAGTGATGAAACTATTCAGGGTCAGTGTGTGTTTTGTTTCCACTGCTGCCTCGAGTCACACCTGTTTTCTTCAAGCCCTGCTCTCTGTTTACTCGGACTGTCAAGCCACTTTGTTTTCTTTGCTGCTGCAGTGAAGTGAGTCCTCTTCTGGGCAGGGACTGATCTCTGCATTCCACACATAGCAAACAACAACTTCAGAAGCAGAAAAACAAAACTGCTGTCACATGCTGTCTTCCACCTTAAAAAGATGCTCGTCGTCTGTCAGGGGAAGGTTGCGTTTTGCCTTTATACACAGTAAACATTAGTACAACATTGTGTGTGTTGAGTGGCGGCTGAGTAGGGTAAAAAAAAAAAAAAAAGTAACTAACACTTAATCTTTTTTTGAAATGTGTCTTTCCACTCACATTGCAGTTCACACAGTTAAGGTCCCACACAAGGGAGATTGGTCCAGCTACCTCAGGTTATCCAGTTCTAATATGGCTCGGGTTCAACGCAACTGTCCTCTTTTTGTCATCCACAGTGTTAGTGCAGCATTTCAGAGGGGTCAAACAACAAGCAAACAGCGGCACAGGTACTAGGTGCCATTGTCTGTCACGCTGGATGAGTCTGGAGAGGCCACTGTCGGGGTTGATGGCTGATCTGGGCTCATGGCTGGGGAGACGTCTTTAGGCCAGTGTTGTCGACTCAGACTCTGATGCAGTTCATCCAGTTCAGCTGGCAGGGGGATCCCCAGCTCTTGGTTGAGGGACAGAGCTTCAAACCAGTCCTCCAGCTTCTGGAAAGGTGGACTGGGGGAGGAGGAGGAAAGAGCAGAGAGGGCACACAGAGGGGCTTTTAGGTTAAAACCAGATTTACAAGCTTGAGAGAAAACATGAGGAAGCAATCTGGCAACAGAGGCATGCCCTTGTGAAGGCAGGTTGAGATGGCATCTGAATGCAGTTGTTCCCCCCCCCCCCAATTACTTCTACAGACTCTTTGGGATCAAATAACTGGCTGTTTCTCAAGGTGAAGGCGGACACATTTCTCATGTTGCCATTTGAGTGATAGATTTACAGATTCTAGATTTATTCATGGATTTATTTACATTCTAGCTACATAGCTGTAAAAAAAAAACCTCTTGGCTGGTTCAGGTTAAGAAGCATTACTCTAGTTACATTACTCTACCAGTAAGCAACTCTGCAAAGAAATTAATAATATGTCAACTACATACACATTACAGTAAAAGCAGATGCTCACCGGTTGTCTGGTGTGAGGTCACAGCAGGCCACAGTAAGTGGAAAGAAAGCTGGTGGACAGTCTTCAGGGAGGAACTTTTCCATAAACTTGCCGACATTTAGGCCAAAGTCCAGAGTCCTGGGGAGGCACTCAGGGTCTGCATAGACTCTTCCAATGATCTGGATCATAAGACAATTAATTAATCAATAAATAGAGACACACACACACTTAAGAATTGAATTGATGATCCAATATTTTATCAAGGTTTTGTTGTCTTGATCTGATAATACAGCTGTGAGGAGAAGTTGAATTGAAATCTATTATTGGTGTTCACCTGGAAGCTGCCACATCCAGGATTTTAGAATCAGCATGTTCTTACCTCACAAAGCACAATTCCAAAGGAGAAGATGTCCACCTTCTCATCATAGCGTTTACCTGAAATCACATCAAGTAAAGGATAATGTAAATTCACACATTGAGCCAAAGAATGGATTTTCCTCTGTTAAAGCTGGTAATTCATTTTTTTTTGTCAGCAGCTCACCATTTAGCATCTCTGGAGCCATCCAGTAGGGGTTTCCCACGACAGTGTATCGCTTCTTTCTGTCGACACGTCTGAACACCCTCTTCTTGGTGGAAGGTTTTTCAGGTGGAGGCTTCACTTTGTCCTCTACGATGAGTCGGGACAGTCCAAAGTCAGCAACGACCACAGTGTTGTCCTGTTGAAAGATAATGGTTCACTTTGAACTTGATTTACAGTCAAGAGTCACATTGCTTAAAAATACATACTTTTCATATGGATAGATTGTCTATAATGTCAAGGAATCATAAATATAGTAAATGCTCTACTAGAATCTGCTTAAATAATGAAATATTGTCTTAAATTTACATCATAAAAAGTTTTTCAGCTACTCTTGTTTATATAGACACAACTGTCTTGGGAAATCACAGGGCTGGGAACTACTCAACTGAACGCATGCCAACTTTTACTCTGTTCATGAAACTTACAAATTGTTCCCACCCCTTATTCTCATTGTTAAAATGTTGTGATGTGTAATGACTGGTAAGATGACACGTCACCTACCAGTTTAACCAGGCAGTTGTGAGAATTGAGGTCTCTGTGTATGATGCTCATTGAGTGAAGGTAGGCCTGAAACAAAGAGGAACGATAAGGAGTAAGAATTACACATGTGCAGGAAAATTCACTTTCATATTGTAATTCTTTTTTAAATATTTTTTAGTGGCCTGAAGAGGAAAAACTGTGTCGTATTTAACAATCTAAATAAAATAAAATAACAGTTTAGTGTAACAACATTTACTCTCTTCTCGTACTAATCATCTGTGGTTCCTTAGATTCATCTCAGGACCCCATGTGGTGATCCCAATGTCCACAAGCGGTCCTGTGTGTAGATGTGCTCTATGGCACATTTACACACATTTAGGAAGCTGAAAATAGTAATAATAGATTTCACTAATAGCAATGTCTTTGCAAGGGGCCAACTCACCATGCCAGAAGCGATGCTCTTTGCAAAGCTCACTCTTTGCTCCCATGGAAACGGATCCTGTTAGTCCCAAGTGAAGAAACAAAAAAAACACAAATGAGAAAAATGAATAGAAGCTCCTTCAGAGGCCATAATGCATAACAGCAGTACATATAAAATAATTTTGCACTAGAGACCTGAAAACAGTAAACAAAATTAAACTTTTACAAATGAAATTCAAAACCTTCCCTCCCCCACTAACATAATTAGAGACAAAAAAACCTCTCTCCCTCTCCTCCCTGGGCCATGTGCGGCGCTGAACTGCTCCTCAAAAATAGTCTGCTGTGGGAGGAGGGGAACACAGCTCTTTAAATTTCACCTGGGAACACTTTCTACAACTTTTCTCATTCCATGTCTTGGCCAGCTGACATGCCAGCCAGCCTACTATAGACTTATCAGTGCAGAGTTTACTTCAGGTCAGCCCCCTCCTACACTGCAAACAGCTCTTTTTGTGGCCACAGAAGGTTTTTTTGTGCTCTGCTGTGGAGGAGAAGCGCGAGAGGCTTAAGTGAATCAACTAGTTTAACTCACAGTGTCTCTGATGACTTCTTTCAGGGTGCCTCCCTCGATAAATTCAGTTATCAGATTGAGCCTCTTGTCTTTGTATAGCACACCGATGAACCTCAAGACATGGGGATGATCGAGGCTTCGCATTACTTTGACCTGAAGATGAGGCATAAACAGAGATTGAGTTAAAGACAATTCTACCAGCTGTTACAAGCTGTTAATTCCTATGAGTGAAAAAAAATCCATCAATGAAAAAAATATTACATACAGTAAAAAACAAGCTAATGTTTCCCTACCAGACTAGGGCAACAAAACAAGGTACAAAGAGGTAGCATTCTTTCAGTTGTGAGTATAATAAACCACAGCTTCATGCAGAGCCAGAGGACTGTTTTGTCTGTGAGGAAGTTCAGGTGCCCTGCTGCAGATTACCAACCTCCTTTAGGAAAGTTTTCTGAGTCTCCTCATCACAACGGATCAGCTCCTTCATCACCATCACCTCTCCTGTGGCTTTATGAGTCACCTGTTAGTGGGACAAAAGCACACATGTATCACTTAAAGCCCACTGCACATGGAACCCGAACGGTGGAGGGAAAATACAAGGTGAATAACTGACCTTGATCGCCTGTCCGAAAAAGCCTTTTCCTAAGATTTCTCCATGGATGAGGTCACATGGCCGGAAGATGCGATGAGAGCAGCTACTGGAGGATCTCAAGGACTCAGAGCGGCCAATGTCTCGTGTAATAAAAACCGTCTCTTTAGGAGAATTTGGTGACTTACATATGCTGTTACTGCGCCTGTAATAGAGAGAATGTGGTTGTTTAAAAATGAAAAGAAACATGTACACTAATTACTGTCCATTACAGACCAACAGTGTGTAGGCTGAATGTTTTTGACTGCTCTAACATACCTTAAAGACCTCCTTTTCAGCGTGCCGTCATCAACCACGTCGGTTCTCTCCAGGACCGCATCGGAAGGCGAGGACAGACGCATGCGGGACGTGGCCGGGACTCCCAGACTGGTTCTTGGTGATCCCAGCCTGAGCCGGTCTAAGCGATGCCTCACCGGGTCATACTCTATAAGCAGCTGCAGCGTGTGACTGGTGCGGTGAATAAGATCATCCACCTAAAGAAACCGACAAGAGGATTTTTAAATGATTAATGGGAATATTTCACTCTCTTCCCAGGATTTCTAATTTCTCTACACAAATAAAAAATATATTTTACAGTTAATTTTTTCTTTTGCTTCCATATTCGTTAAGTAGGGTTGGTAAGGTGGAAAAAACACACTTATGTTGAAAATAAAAACGTCCACATAGCTCCAATTGTAGCTAGGTGTACGTAATAAACTGGCAACTAATTGTAACTGTACTATTTCCACAAACAATGGGACTTTTAATCAGATCAACAGTCAGAACTAATTAAAAAGCATGACTTGATTGCAGCAAATGTAACGCAAACTTTGAGATGGGATATAATACTGAAAAAACAGGATATTGTAGGTGGGAACTTGGAAACAAAACAATACAAAAATAAAACCAAAGCAGTGAATGATGACAGCGTTGGTATGAAGGGAGGGCTGTGGCTGTGGGAATAAGCCTTCTTGTGCTGTCATGCCACATACCGTCCTCTCCCAGCTGAAGAATGTATAAATGATGGAGGAATGTGAAGAATCCCAAAAATCATATGGAGTCATTATATAATAAGAACATAGCTTTGTAAAATGCACTCAAGGAATGGTCTTGCCATTAATAGTTACACTAATTAGTTTCATCTAAAGAATTTCAGATCACATATCACTCTGAGTATCAGAGGTGGGTGTGTGCGAGGTATAAACCCACCTCCTCCTCCATCAATGTCCCGACAGGAAGGCCATTGATCTCCAGGATCCTGTCCCCAACATGGATGGCATTTCGCACCTCTGGACTGATAAGCATCCCTCTGACTCTGTAACAACACAGTACCAACACTAAAATGTGAGTATTAACACTATAGGATGTGCTGATATAGAGCTTAAGGAGAACAGGGTCACACATCATAGCAAACTATCAATAACTACCTTTTATTGCAGTGTCACACTAACACACACATACACACCACTGCCCTGCTATTTAGCAAACCTATAATCAGTCTTACGTAAAGCATTACTCATGCTGTCCCCGCAGAACAGAGCGACATGGGTACAGACATCTGCGTCAGGTTCCACTTACTCTTTGACTTGGACACTCGCAGAGCCGTTGACGTCCCTCAACACTGAGACAGAGAGGCCCCTCTTGCCGTTGGCTGCAGAGGGCATCGAGATGAGGGTCACTGTGTGGGGCAGGGAGTCTAGGATCGAGTCGTGTGAGCGTTTTTCCAACATGGGTGTAAGGACCACCTGCTTGTAGCACTTTCCACTGCACGCAACAGAAAAAAGGGTAAATGATTGTGGTTGTTAGGTTACAGTTTAAAGAATGCAAAATTGAAGGCGTCATGGAATAATGACTAACTAATAATGAATGTTTATGGCTGAACATTAACTTGAGAACACTGTTACTCCTCAAATCCATCTTCTAATAATAAATTCACATCTTAACTGAAACAATACACATTTAAGACTGTGACTGCATTTATTTCACTAGTGTATCAACGTCTATACCACCTTTAGTCCCACACCATATAATTACTGCCAGCTACATGGGTTCCCATCAGTGTCCATATTGCAAATAGTTTTAAACAGACCTGGGCAGGTGTCTTACCAGTAGAGTTTTGATCGCTCGACTAAGGCGTAGGTATCCCTGTCTTCAATCACCACCTTGCAGCTCAGACACACAAAGCACTCAGGGTGATACTTGTGTTCTCCGGCCACCTGGAACCACAAACAAAGTGCTCTGATCTTCAAAACGTTCACCCGACTCGAAGCAGAGAGAAGTAATATGCTGGCGGTGAGGTTGCTGTCCGGTTCTGCTGTGCGATGTTTCTCAGAGACGAGTGTGTTGCACTGCGTGTTTTCTCTCTACCCTCCTCCTGCTGTGAGTGGTGACGCAGCCGTAACACCTGCTTTACTCTCACACTGTCTGGAATCTGCTATGATGTCACCTCCCCCCGCAGGTCTGAGCGGCTCGTCTCGCTGACGTTCTGGCTTTGAACTCTCTGAAACCAGCCCGCAGTCTGTCATGTGCTTTCTCTCTTATTAACACTGACTGACCAATTTCCCTTTCTGAAATTTGTGTTACGCACCCATTTCATCTGGCTTCTTACTTCTCTCTCATGCAAGATGAGATAATGTGTGGCCTGTTGCCCTTCAGCAAGCAGGTAATCTAATTGCGCACATACCTGAGCTCAAAAAAGATTGATTTCAGGTTCACTTATGAAAGTTAAGTGTTAAGCCTGTAATTTAAATGTGGAAAATCTCCACCTAAGTGATGTGGAAGCGAGGCAGGGAAGAAATGCATAATTACATTTTCTTCAATAGAGAATGCATTACGCTAGGAATTGCTTTGAAACATAGTAATGGTTGAGCAATGACCGATATATAAAGCACAGACCAACCCAAAGAGAAGTTATGTATAATTCCATTATTCCATGCACATTACAGTCTTATACACATGGTTATTATAGCCAGTAAAACTTTTTAGATGTAATTTTTCTCAATTAATGAAACTGAAAAATACATTAATTTATGCTGTAGATTTCAGAACATGACTGGTATTTAAAGGTGAGTAGAGTACGACATCATTCAGCTGCATTATTATAACATATTATTATTATTATAACCCGATTTCCACAAAACATACTAACAGTATACAATATAATATACTTTTCTTTATGATACAGTGTTTGCAGTTTGTACACAAGACATTAACATACTTTACTATTTGAAAATGGTACAAGACGAGCACCACTGGACGAATAACAATGTCACTGTGAATTAAACTTCACAAAGAGAAAGGAAAATATGATTTTACAAAAATGTATTAGCTATTTTTGTTGTCTGCAAAATTCATGAAGCTGTTTCACCACCATTCGTAATTAGTTTTAATTGTTTCCAGCTGTCAGCTCCTCCAATTCCCTAGTGCATTGCATTGTGGGAGAATAACGTCCATCAACAGAAAACTCACAAAAGTCGTCATACTGACTGTTTTGAGTGTACTTTCTTTTGTCACTTTTCTAGTGGAAAAACACAAAATACTTAAAACCTGCTTAGACTAGTAAGCAGTGTGGATTTGGGACACAACTATAGAGTCACAGTTTAGTTATCTGCAATTCAAGCACATTAAAAGTAGAAACCAGTATTTTTTCCCACATTTGCCACAGGTCTGAGTCAGTGGTTCAATGCTGGGAAAGGATTCCCTGCTGCAACGGGGAGATTAGAGTGATGTCAGCCAAATCATTGTGACATCTCAGGAGACTGTCTGTAACTCCCTGCCTTCAAGCCAAGAACAGAACCACCACAACCAACCGTAGTCACAACCTGCCTCAGGCTTCAACAGCGAGACAGAGCCGTAACAAACTTGGCAAAACAAGATCAAAGTGGAGGAATAATGAAGTGGGTCTAATTTTGGAGAGGTAGAAAATGTCCAACTGGACAAGAAAAGCTGAGAAATTACATGATCATTAAAAACAGCACCCTAAAATATAACAATCAATAAACTAACAAATAATTAAACCAGGACAAAAACAATAGTGTTCTGGACTTGAATGCCTAACAAGCAGCAGGAGTTCTGCGTGACCCTCCTCTGCTGACGGCCCACAAAGATTCCCTTTCTGGCCGAGAGGCTGCAGTGCCAAATCAGCTCTGCCAAAAACACTTGGCTTCACTGGCTGATGAAGCAGGATGCCAATACTAAATAGAAGAGTCCATTGTGTGTGTTGCTTGGTGGCAAAAAGAAAAAATTCAGTCTGGCTCCATGTTGGACAAGTGACCCCCGGTTGTGACCAGCAAGAGCTGCTGCCACCTGAATTTCATGTTTCAACTTGTAGATGCTAAATCAAAGCTGATTGGCGTCTGATTCGATTCAACATACCCGAGTTACTCTGGTGTCAGATGTGACTTTTGCTGTTATTTCTTGGTTACTTTAAATCTACCTTGCCAAGACTAATTGACATAATTGTTACATACTGTATATGATGATTCAAGGGTAATTTAAATGCATGTATCAGCCAATTAATGTCAAGTGAATTGGTAAGTTTAACTTTCTTTGACACATTAGTAGTAGGATTTGCATCAAGGTCCATAAAATTACCTGATGGAAATACTGTAAAACTTCAATTAATAGCCCAGGTTTTTTTTTGCTTCAATTGCTGAACTCAACTTGCCTTTATTTGGAAGAGGTGGTTTTTTTTAATAAATATTTTATTGGAAGGGGCAGTAGTTGTACAAAGACATACAAATAGAATGCAAATCGAAATAATTGTCCCTCTGTATTTTGTGGGACAGGCACTTAATTCCTTTTGCACAAAACTCTCAGCAAAGATGGAAAATACTACCAGTATGAATATTACCTCTACTCATTAATTTAATCATATGATACTTTGGTTCTCATGGTTTCTGTAAAATAACCGTTGAATTATGGAGAATCTAATTGATCTAACGATGTATAGTATCACCACGTAGGCTGAGTCCTTACCACAGCGGCCTGGGTTCAGTTTCAACCTTTGTGGCCCTTAGCTGCATGGGCCCCCCCCCACCACCTCCACTATTTCCTGTCTATCTGCAGCTGTCCTATCAAAAATAAAGGCATAAAAAGTCCCAAAATATGTATTTTTTTTAAACAAAACAAGGCTGCGACCCAATGGAATTTTAGAGGTTTTATTCAACCAAAAAATTGCTATCAAATCCAGACCAGGCATCTAATTGAGACCTGTGTTTATTTGTCAAAACATGTAGCCACACCAGGCTAGTACCAAACTGAACCAAACTGAACTGAACCAAACTGAACTAAATGATACAGTAATGCTGTAGATCATAATAAAAGTGGTAGACTGTGGGTAATATCTACAGAGCCACCTCACCACAGAGGACACGATGGACTCCAAAACCACCTCATGTTCTAGCATCTTCCCACTAGATCCTCTGTGTACTTGGGGGAAGTGAACTGTGGAGAACTTCTGTGCAGAGAGGGAGTATAATGGGGCCTCAAGGGGGATTTCACAAGTGAGTCCTAAAGCCAAATGTGCTATGTTCAGCAGCAGCCAATGTAAAGTATCACTCATCTGTAAATGTAATAATCGCCACAAAAACACCCCCCCTGCCTTTTAATGCATGTTAGTATTAATCTGGACCAGTGGGGAGAGACTGGAACACAGAGGGCATTGACACGCTCTGCGGGCATTCTGGTATTATTTAAGTAGACGAGGAAATTGTTGGCAATTGTTGTTATACGATCATGGCAAGACAGACTTTGAAAGCCTGGCAAAGACATATAGTAACAGTGGTCTAATAGTCTTGACCCAGTGTTCGGCTTTATTAGGCTGAAGCCTTACGCAATCACGAACCAGCAAACAGAAGAAAAAAAAATTAAATAAAAAGGAAATTGCACAGAGAACTGTGGTATTATAGAGCTATAGCCACAGGTTAGAATGCAATGTCAGCATTAAAAGAGTAGTAAACTTAGTAAAGCACTTCCAAGTTAGGGGACTAGCCAGATATTAATGGTTATAATCAAAGATAGTCAACAATATCATGACTTTTAGTCCCCTGTATGGACTACACTTCCCAAAATGCAACTTGACAGTGCCTTTTGTTACATCCTCACTGCTTACTAAAATTCCTATGTCTTTCACATGCCACACCCCCAGTTTGTAACTTTGGGGGGCAAAGTTATAAATGTGTGGTCTACAAGCCAAAATAGTCACAGATATAATACAATAAGATACAATACAACTGTTTTCACTGACTAGGTGGTATTTTAAAAAGTGGCCTCAAATCTGTGGAGTCCCCCTTTAATCTTAAAGTACAATTAAAGTTGTTGAGCTTAGGGTTCAGTTGGAATTAGCTTTATAAAACATGTGAATCCATTGTGCAACATTTTGGACCGACACTGCCAATAAATCTCTTGACAAAGGGTAAAAAAGTGTAATAGGCTTACCATGGCAGGTCCAGTCATGAGCAGAGAGCAACCATGGCAGAGCTCTCCAAACTTCTCCCAGTAGTGTTTGCGACAGTACAGCTTGCCATCCTTCTCATAGTACCAGTTAGTCAGGTGGTCACAGCACACAGAACACCTGAGAGGACAAAAACAGTCTTGGTCATGTTTGCACAGAGGAAAAAAAGCCGAACAGAGACAAATAAAGCGATGAAGGATTTTTCAGCTGTAAAGCAATCACCTTCAAAGTGACATGGGAGAGACTCAAAAGCCTGGGGTATTACTTCAAAGACCTGTTGATAATTTCAAAAGGTATGTGGGTGATGTCTGAAAGATCCTCAGCACTGATTCTACGGCTCTCATATAATAACAGGTACTCAAGACACAATTATTTTCATTATCAATCAATTGCACCCTTAGTGAATAAAATAAAAGGATACTCATCATAAGTTGCCAGAGCTCAGCAATGCCCTTATATAGCTCATCTTCTCTTTACAATGAAATAGATCACAGAAAAGCAGCAAATCATCACATCTGAGAAGTGTTTTATTTGACTTCAGTGATAAATTCCCATTCATGAATGATTTGTTTTTAATAATTTATTAATTGTCAAATTGAATTACTTAGTTTGAATTCTTAATTTAAATAGTTTCAGCACTGTACAACAGAATCAGGTAAGAGCTGAGTGTCACACAAAACCCTTTTACAGTTTGGTAAAAGTAAAAAATCTGAGCCATCACACAAACTAGGTTAACAGAAAGCACATTCCTCATATCACATACATTACATACCAGGTGAATCACATCCAAATCTCAAATAGAGCTTGTCTAGAAACCATAAATCATACTACAGAACATAAAACTTTCAATTCTAAAGTTGTATAGGACAGGAACATTAGCTGGGGGCATTGTTCTGAGTACGACAACATGGACTTTTCTCTGAACACAGGTAGTACACAGTAAATACCTCATCCTGAGATGTGCTGGGCCTTGCATTAAAAAAAAAAGAAGAATCTGGCGAGCCTTTGCAGATGGTGGATGTGAGGAGTGTTTGGTTACTGGTCTCTGCACACTACCAATAAGGCTTCCAAATACTTTGCCAATTTTCTGAACCTCAGTAGGATCCAGTTGCTTGAGGGAAAGCTGCATGACCACTTTGACACCGACCTATAGCCTAAAAACAATCTCTACAGGGGCAAAGATCATCAGATCATCTGGTTGTTTGTTGTGCAGTTTTTGTTTGCAGTTACTTAACTTAACTTCTCTAGTGTGCATTTTCTTTTTAAGATCAATGTATATAATAACAAGGCATCTCGTTAGCCCTGCTGTCCAAGGTGCAAACCTTATAACTAACATTCGGTGGTTCAGGACAACTTGTCATATATAATCCATTTTATTGCACAATAATAATACTAAACAACAGCTGGTCTATCCAGAAGAAAATTGGCAACTTAAGGGGACATTTCTGGCTGCAACTTCGGGACAAAATGTTCAGAGTGAGGAATGCTAAAGTTGCTAACAGACTGGAAAGCACCTGCAGGCTATGAGCGTTCCTTGAACAAGCTGCACTGGTTATTCGAAAAGGTGGCAACAGGTTCAACTGCCAGAAGACAGTCAAGGATGAACTGTTCTGTCAGAGATAAGGTTACTGAAACATCTTCAGTACTGCGTCTTTTTCGGGCTTTTGCTGCAGTCAGAAGTTGCAAGCCTTTTTGTTTTCACCTTAGTTTCAAAGTTGAGCAAGGATGCTGAACGAGACTTTAAGATTCAGATGATGAAGTGCAGATAAATAAATCACAAAAAATTACTTTACAATTAGTAAAGTGGAAATGAACGGGAGAGCAAAACTGTTGACAGAACTCCAGATTAAAAACATAACAGGTGTGACACAGTACACAGGTTGCTTTTAGAGATGACTATAACAATAAACTTTCAACTGACATTGTACCGACTTCCTGATGAACAACTATTTCTAATTCAGGGCTATACCAACAACATTGCTCTGCTGATGCTGTTGTTCTTCTGGAAAATGCTCTCTGAATGCTCACATGTCTATGATGATATTAAGAATATCACATTTATGTCTTATGCAACCACCTGAGACAAGCCAGAAAATATTACTTTGAGTGGGAATGTGGTTTTTATGCATTTTTAATCTTTCGGTGGAGCGCTGGCAGCTTTTTGCTGAGCCTCATGCATCACGTTGCTCTCCGCACTGCAGGTATAGTTGATCCAGGCTTATTGACTTTGGCAAAGATTCCACATATTTCAAAGTTTTCTGGCATTAGTTAAGAAGGAGTCACTTTATAAAGGGAAGACCACATGTTTGTGTCTATTGTGGAGAGAAAAGTGGAGAGAGGGGCAAGCACTGGTTGTGACGCAGGAGCAATGTTTCAGTCTATAACATCAAGTGGCATCCATGTTAATGGCCTTATAACAAATAATGTGAGGAAACAAACAGGCTGTTCCGAGATTACAGCAACAAACATTAAGAATGAACACGAGGTCAGCGTGATAATGACTCCAGCCTGATTCATCACACTGTGACATGATTAGAGGAAGCAGAGTTGAAAGATTGCTGAGGTAAAAGAACTGTGTGAGTAACGGTAGCTGTGCTGTCGTGGCCACAGCTGCACTTTTAGGCAACATGTCTGATTTGTGTGTCAAAACATGTCACACAGTCCAGATGTAGAATTACACAAAGTTCTAGTTTATGAAACTATTTAAATACACAACAAAAGAGCCAATACATTGGTCAATATACCATTGTTGGAGTATATATAAGCCCAAAAGTAACAAGCAATTTCAGTACAGAAATCCTAAAAATACAGTATGTTTTCAGTCATTTAGAAGCAGTGTTGCTATTATACAGTTTGTCCACCTGACGGGACTGACAGGTTTATATTTCAACTGTTAAAGGTCTCGCTCTATACATATATTTGTCACAATTCTTTTATATGCAAATCTAAGGAATCCTGATAAAAAATATTTAAGTGTGTTATTTAAAAAAAGTATTATTCATTGTTATTATTCGATTTTTACTTACTTACTACTTATACTAGCAAATAAAGTACAAGTAAATACTTTTGCTATCGGTATCTGCCTCACACAATCAGAACTGGTCAAGGATCAGTGTCAGTATCGATATTGCCTGGTGATACTAAGGCACACATTGGGTCCAATCAGAAAAAAGATACATACTCACAAAAGAGGAAAGAAGAAAGCGTTGTATTTCAACTGGTATGCATGACATTCAGTATCTGTCCAGGTGTGGCAAGAGGAGAAACAATAACTTCCACCATGTCCGCCTTGTTCTGAACAAAAAGCATTCCTAGACAAAACCAGTTGATGAACTACAATTGCTGTCCATTATGTCTACAATATATCAAGATAAAGTGATCTTATGGTGCTTATAAAAACACCTGACTTTCAATGGCACTGGTCAATGTGGGGCGGCCACGCTCAGGTGGTTCTTCAATGAACAATGCAATGCCTGCACAAACACTACAATGTAAACATTACTCATTTCCTTGAATCCACATTCCTGCTGCAGTCTATTCCTTTGTTGGCGTCTGGAGTGGTGATAGTAAAAGAGGGACCTAAGGTTGTGGCATTGAAGACTTAAAGAGGGAGTGTTTCACTTTAAATGGGACCTTATCTGAGGGAGTGTGACTTTCCATAACAACCTCTTTTCAAGGAGTGGAGATTGACCATTCATATCCCAAGAGCAATGTGTTAATGTAATTAGGCTTAAGGATGGGAAAAGATTTCATTTACCAATGCCTTTAGAGATTCTGCTTCACGGTCCAATTCTTTGTCAATTCCCTTACTGATTGCGGATTGTGGAAAAAAAGAACCAACACAACTGTTTCATTATCAGTGTAGAAAATGAGTAGAGTTATAGTAGTTTGAGTTTCTTCTCCTCCATCATGAGTCTGTCCTGTTTCCAGCAGCGTATACACAGTTTAAGGTCACTGTTTGCAATGCTTGGCTGTCAGAAAAACATCCTGGACTTGATAAAAGGACTTGATACGCTCGGTGGGATACGATTCTGATGGATCGGATGATCTGGAACCGGTTCTCAACTGGAACCTGTTCTCGATTACCATCCCCAGTTAGGTTTGGATTACATAACAGTCATCACTTCACAGTCCGTTGCACTAGAGCTGCAACTGACAACAACTTCCATTATTGATTAATCTGCTGATTATTTTCTCCATCACCATTCCCCAAAACCAAAGATTAAATTCAGTATATTGCAGTTACTTATTTTTTTCCAACCCACATGAGTGGGTTACTCTGAATCCTGAATACTCTTTATCTATCGAATATATGAAAAAGAAAAGCACCAAAGTAAACTTTTTAATCAGATTTTATGCAGTGGTAGTGGGTTCTTTATACTATGACAGTTTTCCTAAAATTGGATTTACAACAAAAATCGCAGCATAGTGCCTTGCTTCTATACTGAATTGTAACCCCTGTATTGTGAAAGTATCATATCACCAGATTCTTGCCAAAACACAGTCCTACTGATAAATGTATGTGTAGATTCTGTTTCTGTGTATGTTCCCAGAAATTTCTCATGTGTCTGCAATTTCATATTTTACTGCAGAAAAATGAAACGAGGATAGAACAAAGGAACTAAATATCCCTGCATCCTGTGTTGTAAATAAATATGAGACACAAAACTCTATTTGTGGCCAAGTATGATGACAGTATCTGCAGGTCCATACACATCCAGTTTAGTACAAGATAGGAAATATCCTTCTTTCTTTGGGAGAAAAAACCAAAGGATCCTGCAGTAAGTGTCTGAGACAGCGGACCCACATCTCTGAATCGCCGTCTAGGAATGCAGAACAGAACGGAGTGGAACGTGTTGCTACCTATAGGCCTCGATAATACTGCCAGGTTTACTGGAACAGCGTCCAGTGACGTCAGATTATAAGAATGTTAAACAAGGTGGAGGTACATGGAGGGCAGAGTGGCAGCATGTGGACAATAGACAATAGGGACACCACAGGCGGTATCGCATTAACAAGGACATTTTATTTTTGCTGTACAACTTCCTTAAAAAGGGTTCAGAGATTTAGTTCTTTAAGCAAAATAATAGTTTGTTACTTTGTAATGAAAAAGACCGATTTGAACCAAACATCAGAGGGTTAAACTGCAGCACAGTTAGATAAACAATATTGCAATATGGCTTCCTATACACACCCAACATATCTAATATAGTTTTTAAGGAGTGTAACTTAAGACGTTCCAGACAAAAAATGTGAGGGAGTATAAAAGTACGAAGGAGAGGAAATCATTGATCAGCTGTGTCAGGAACTTTGTCCCTGAGATGACACTAGAAGCTGTATGTGTTATTGAAGAGTCAGTGTTTGGAAAGAGTCAATCCCAGGTTACGTAAGGACAATGTGCTGCTAGATATTGGCTCAAAACTTCTAAGAGAGCTATTTCAGTCGTCAGAAACAGAAAACACAGTCAGCATTTAATTTATTCTATTCTTATGGCTTTTTTGGACATACCAGTAGCCTTCCAAAGCCAGACTCCAGTCATAAAACCAAAGAATTCTTGGATATAGTCTACAGTATGGCTTCTCAAAAAAGCTCCAAATCGGCTACATTGACAGATTCAAGCACCCAGTTCTTAATCATCTGTTTTATAATGTTAGCGGCAAACCAAGCATTCTTACTATTGAACGTGTACACTTTTCATTAAAAACGCAGCTGTGATCATGCCATCTGTTCAAACCTTTCATGACAGTTGGATTAAGAAGAAAGAATAAATCTGAGCCATATTATCTCCCATGATAACAAGTGATTGTTACTGTTTGCCAAAGGGGGAAAACCCTGTGAGTGTCATATTATGTCTGGTATTTACAGTATGTCATCCAGCCACAGGTTCACTGCCCCACACAGAGATAGCTCACTATAGGGGGCCGTGACCTGTGACAAAAAGTGTGGCAATCATTAAACCTCAGAGCAGAGGCATCCTGGGCGAAGTCCTCCAGGACAGTAGGACCCATTTCACCAAACCACTCTGTGTTCAAGAACCTGGACCGTAACCGTGCAGAGGTCTGTGGCAGGAATGACATCCTACAAGGTGCACTTTGTCCACAGAGGCACAAAAACAATGGGGGAATTGTTAAAAACAGATCTAAGCCCATGTTTAGGCTACAAGACAGAAGCTTCTGGGATTATCCACAAGTACACCCAAACAGCCAAAACAGCCACAACATTGACTTACAGAAAAAACAACAACAATTGTGTTCATGTCAATGCAAACTGTCCCCCCCCCAACCTCTCTCTCTCTCTTCTTTCTATGAAAACAAAGCATCCACTTATCAGAGTGTGACTGACAAAACTGTGGGCATTACAGTAACTTACACAGGGTGCACGCAGGCGTGTTTAAAACCCTAAACTGGAACACTTACTGAAAGCAGGCGTTGTGCCAGGTGTCCTGAAGGACTTTCATTTGAGACGAGTCTTGAATTTTTCCTCCACAGCCCGCACAGTAACATCCATCTGTACCTGCAACAAAAAAATTAAATAAAAAAGACCGAGGCTGTTATGCTTAAAAATGCTGGTAAAGCTGAGTATGTGAGTCCACAACAGGTATGTTCGACGTTACATTGAATCTGTAAAAAAGTTTTGAAGCAGCAACATTGTATCAACTCTCCGTGTAAAACGATAAAACTAAACGGAAACATCGTAACTTTTCCTCAAGCTCCAACCTGAAAACATTCCTCACCTTCTGGTTCCTCCATCTACTTTCTGAGAGTGTCGTCGATATTCAAATCCTTTCAGAAACTGTTCATACTGAAGCAGGAGAGCTGTGATTTCATTCCTCCCGTCGTCTAAACCAGGACTCCAAAGGACAGGGGGAGGAAAAAAAAAAGCCCCACACAAATCCCTTTAATTCTCCACACAGAGAGAGAAAAAGTAACCAAACTCCTCCTGGACGGAGCTGCTTTCTCGCCGCTGGCAGGATAACTGACGTAATGCAGTCTACAAATTCCTGTACGGAGAGCGGAAAGGCTCAACTGCAGCACCTGGAAGCAGGAGAAAACTTGAGGTTTGGCCCCAAACTGAAAGGGAACGACAGTGGCGCCACCTGCTGTCCTAATGGCCACACTGCACACTCTCTGTGGTAGATTGATTTCTACGTTGTATATATCTTTAACTGTGTTAATATTGTTTTACATTATTCAAGTCGCCCTTCCCCTGCACATTAAAATCCACTGTTAAGTAATTTTTTTTGTTTTAATGTGTGCAAATACATAAAACTACTCTGTATGTACTACCTTTCCTCAGAAACAGTGAGCAGGGCCATAGTCAGAAATGTACAAACACTGAGGTCATGATCTAGAGAGAGAATACATTTTGTCCACAAAATATTTTATTATTATTAAAAATGATTGGAAATTATTTTGTGTGTTTTAAAAGCCTTTATCAAACCGCAAGGAATACAGTTCTGGTTGGGAAATAATTCTTTATTAATGAGTTTATTTGTTGTAGTCAAATCAGATTTTTCCCAATGAAGAGGAAAATGTTTCTGAACTTCAGCTTATTAGGTGTATGAGAATATTTCTCCAAGAGATACTAATTAGACTCCATGATAGAAATTAACACAATTTGCATTTCATAGATTCTGGATTTTTTTAATGAGGTAAAAGGAGTACATGCCTTTTTAAGGATTTTAATGTAGAAATTATTTTGAAAAAAAACATATCAGACACACATTATTGTTCCAAGATGTTGTAATTGATGTCTGGAGTTGATCTGTAAAAATAGAAGCAGAAATAGTATAATAATAAAAGCAGCTGTTGGGCAAATCAAGCCCATTAATAAATAAAAATGTTTTAACTTCATCATCACCAGTTTTCAAACATTTCAACATGGAAATGGAATACACAAATCTCAGGTAACTCTCTTAAAGCGTTTTATATTCAAGGCTCTGCTCAAGTCAGTATTACAGTAGGTGTGATATGTGACCTGGGGCCAGATGGATAAAACTCTGTGTGTATTTAAGTGTAGACATCTGTGTGCACACAAAAGAAGAACATGAATAAAGTCTTTTTGTCAGATTTATAAAACCTCACATACCTCTGTTGCCACATATTTTCCCCTCATACATCTCAATCATCCTGAAATCAACCTGGACGACCCTTCTGATCATTCTTACAATTTACTATAAATGGCTTGAAGCACACCCCCAACTGCCTAAATGGCATACGAAGGACACGTTTTGAGGAGAAGTGGTGGAAGCATCGAAGAAGCAAATAAAGAAGAAGAAGCCCAATTTTACAGAAAGTGAACTGGAGGTAATGGTGGATCAAACTGAAGAAAATGTGGGTTATTTGGATCCCTAAGCTCTGGCATGAACAGTACAATGAAGTATGGTGAATGGCAGCAGGTAACTATTGGAGCCATTTTCTATGTTCAACTTTGGGTGGTGCTGTGGGTGGCCACAAGTCTTTTAAAGGTGCAGACTAATTGATACAGGAGTGGCACACTATGAGGCACATAGTTTTTGAGTGTATCATGGTCGGCTGTTGTTTTGTTTATTGGTAAAGATTTGATATAATTTAAAAAATAAATGGATTGCTATATATAGTGATTGAGGCAGCGTGAGTTCCGGGCCTCTGACCCTGAAGGAGATTAATAAAAACTGGTCTGATCTCAAACGCTCTCTAAATACTTATTCTTGTCTAAATTACGCAATAGCAATATCTTCCAGCAGCGCCAAAGCAGCCCCTGTATTATTTGGCACACCCATTACGCACGGACGTGTTAAGTGGTCACTCACACCTGAAATTGTAAGTTTTTCTTATTCGACAATAATACAGGATAATAATGTATGTTCATGTATTTATTTGATTATTTATATAAAAAAAGATTGTAATAATAATTATAATGCAGTGACAAACATATTTACACGATAGAAAGAAATTAAGACTTGTCAAACAATTTTGTTAATAACGCACACATTCCTATGTTAGTAACGTTTTTTAAACTACAGATTACGTCCTAACACAGTGAAGTGAAAGAATGAAGCATGGTGTTAAAGATGTGTACCACTGGGGCATGGTTTATACATCTGACCATATTTCTGGTATAGTGTATTCACTGAGATAGATAGGCCTACTTTCATGCTGTCACATTGGACCTCTATCATACATGACATAATGGTGTTGAACCACTTCTGTCGTTTATATCCAGTTTCCTCTTCCTGAGAGCTCTGTTGACACATTTGGTAACAAGGCCTGAGTTAGTTTCTATTTTGAGAGGTTTTACATTGTTTCCACAGAGTCTTCCCACATACCACAACGTTTGCTGTGAGGCCTTTTAACCCCATTACTAATACACTTCTTCTCAATAATACACAAATGTCACCCTGACCAACACATCCACAGTCACATTTATGGTTTCTAGTTTCGTGTCTTTCTCCTCTTTATTTATCTTCTCTGCTCTCTACCCTCTATGTGCACATGAAACAGAATAAAATTCTGCTTAGTAACTGAAAAAGGTTTCTCATAGTGATCACTGATGACGTAGATGATTGGCACTCTTTATTTCTTTCTTTATTAGCTCGTAAATTATAATGATCATCAGCAGTCTTTGTATTTATTTGTGACACCAGGGTACATCTTTTCTACATATTGAACTCTTATAGTTCAATTCCAAGTCAAATACCACAATCTGAGCTGCATCACTGGCTGGTAGAGGTATTTTTAGAAGCCCAACTTAATTTCCTTTTCCCCCAATTCATTCATTAAAATGTCAAAATTCCTCTGAGTTGATCGGAGGGTTATTCAGATCAACTGTGGCACAAGGTGTGGGTACTGGCTCCTATATAATCACTGAGAGCAGCTTGGTGCATTTCCCTCTTGGTCAGTCAGGGTGATTACACCCTTTCTTTAGGGCATAAGAGAGGTGGAGAACTGCACACCGAGAGCATTCTGATCCTTCCTCAATGTAATGCAGACCTCACTTTAGCAGACACAGTAAGCCAGAAACTCTGGGGCCTGTGGGGATTTATACTTGAACTTATGTGCTTATGTTTGATTCCTAAAACTACTGAGCATAAAAAACCTTGTTAACACAGGTTCTAAGAAGTCTATGTGTGACTTACAAGCAACACTTACAAACCTGTGATCTAAAAATCTCAAATTAAATCAAGGGTATGTTGGAGAAAATAGCAATAGAGAAGAGTGCACAGAGGTAGGCAGGTAGGTAAACAGGTCAACAAGCCAATCATTTCATTTGGTCAGAATTATTATTATTAGCTTACTGTGGGCCTGATTTAAGGATTTCTGTCAGGATCTCGAGACTTTAAAACAAATATAACATAAATTAATCAAAAGACAATACAACAGCAAACACTGCAACAGGAAAACTCTTGGAATATTTTGAGTAATTTAGTTTTAGAGTTTTGTAGTCTGTACTGTAAAAGAAATTTTGTGTCTGTTTATGACCCACAGAGCAATGAATTGCATGGGCAGCAGTGTCCATATGGAAAATTCTGGTGTCAACGTGGCTTCCCTCCCTGATGACAGACCAACATACCCAAGTTCAAAAGTTTATTTGGGAGCAGAAACCACACATTGACCGGGTTTATTATGATGGGTGGCATTTATGTAAAGGGAGCATTATTTGTAGCACAGCAAATCCTGTGCAACATTAACAACCACTGTGAAATAAATCTATTACATCTTTTGACTAATGCAGATTGTTCCAGATTTTTCTTCCTAATAGGACTGAAAGAAAATCTCAAATACACAGGTTTAGTCTTTAATGTCTTTAAGAAAATCCATTCTAGTAACATATATGACACATATATAACGGCAGATCAGTTTAATAATAGGGGGTGACCTCAACTACCTGCTAAGGGCCTGTAATGGATATCTATGCACAGACACAATCTATTTACTGGATGAATTTAGTTAATAATACTTAATTCCTCTACGCTGTACAGGCCCTTGTTCTTCTCATTTATTGCCCTGATATTTCAAATGCATTGCCTTTTGGCTACTATAAGAATGCATTACACTGATACGTAAATATTACATATTTATTATGAAATGTATTGATAATGTGTATGATATATATTGTATATAATGTTAAAAGCTGAATAAAGGAAGAAAAATATTTTTTAATTTAGCGTTTTATGAGATTTTGTGCTTTGAAACTATTTCTACCAATTGATGGTGGCATATTTGTGATTCTTGCGACATCTGTCTGTACAGAACTGTATTCACACAGTTCTTCTCAGAACCACTAAGAGGCAGTGTGGTACTGCGTATTACGTAACTGTCCACTTCAAAACGGTCTGTGAAAGTTAAATGAGAGGATACTTTTGGTAAAGTGCATCTTGTTCTAATTTTCACATAGAGATGAAGCATCACCCAGAAAAAAAATGATCCATTTATTAACATTACAAAGATACATACATACCAGTGATGGAATAAAAACAGCAATTACTAATTGTTCAGATTTAACAAGGCTGAAGTGTGTTTGTGTAATAACAGTGTTTCTTTCCACATCTTTTTTAGTTTGTTTCTCATCTGGAGTGTGATTCCACTGACAGTAACTCAAGGTGTCACTGTGGAGCCGTGGGCCGTCATCTCCTGGGTCCAACGAGAAGATGGACTCCAGAGAAACAGAGAGCAGTGACCTTTGGTTCATGATCTCACAGCCAACCTGTTAAATATTTATCTTGGACGGCAGAGCTGAGAGCCGCTTCTGGACACAGAGTGCAGGAATCCAGCAGGCGTCTACAGACTAATATCTCAAGACGAGGAAACACGGGAGTGGGAACCGACAGATAAACCTCTTGAAGTTTCGCACTTACTCTGTAGTTGACTAGGGACTTAGTACCAGTAGCACGACTTCTCTTGGCTTTGCTTCAAGGTTTTCCTCACACTGGGCGAGTAAGTCGGGCCTGGTACTGGAACACAACATGGAAATACTGAGACTCCTCCACTCAATCCACTCCTGAGGCCTTTAAATGTTTGTGTGTGTGTGTGTGTGTGTGTGTGTGTGTGTGTGTGTGTGTGTGTGTGTGTGTGTGTGTGTGTGTGTGTGGGCCTTAGCACACGTGTATATGCTTTAGAAATTCACATAGAAATACACTTTCCTGAATGTAAAGATGGAGCTTGCAATGTGACAGGTGAACTAGACAACATAGAAATCACAGAAAGCATTTCCAGAGCGCCTTTTGTACCTGATCTGAATGTGACAGACAGAACATCTAAAGACCTACGACAGTGAATAGGCCATTCTTTTATGATATGTGTGTCACTCTGGCCTATTTATTGAGATGGCTATGGAAATTGCCTCCTCTTCTCATGCACGTAAAACACTGGAGGGCGGTGCCACTGAGCCTGTGCCTGTATAAGAATCTCTATTATTTCCAGCTGTGGATGGAAACTATTACTGAGTGCCTTCTCCCTGATGAGCTTTAAAGTGCATGCTCACACACACACACACACACACACACACACACACACACACACACACACACACACACACACAACGCATGCACACGCCTACGGACACTCAGTCAAACATTCAGACCCACGCTGAATCATTCACCAAAGATAAAAGACACCCTGTTGGCCTGAGAAAGAGAAAGAAAAAGAGGGAGGGAGAGGGAGAGAAGAGGAACAGTGGTTCCCTCCTTCTTTTTCATTCACTTCCTCTCTGCACTGAGGAGACCTCACTGCTCAGCCTGCACTCGCCTGTAAGTACTGTACAACTTGTGCTGCCACTTCGCACCGTGACTAGAGCAAGGCTTAGTATCTGAAGGAAGTAGATATTCGCAATTCAAAATAGTTTTCTGTCATTGTCATATGATTGACTTTATGGTTTGATTCACATTTTTATTTGAAAGGACAGTGCCTCTGACACTGATTTGAGCATCATGTTGTTTTTCTGCATCCCTCAGTTTATCACCGAAACCACAGAGACAACAGGATAGGGCTGTTTATCATTGCTCTGTCATTGTTGTTACAGTTTTTCCTATTTTTTTCTTAGAACGTTGTTGAGCAACAGTTGAGACATTATATAGAAAAGGGCGGATACGAGGTGGACTTTACTACAGTAGATGCCAATCTTTTACTGTCTGTGGTTCAGGAGATGGTTATCACCAGACCTCTATCCAAAAGCTGCCTCCTATTGTGTCTTTAGTTGTTGTTTTGGTCAAACATTTGAGTATGTGAATATTTCCCTGTTAGAAATGTACTCAATCGTTTGTGTTTTCCTCAGCAAACCTCTATGTTTAAGCATCCTAAGAGAAGAGTGTGTATATGACGTATACCCATGACGATTCATGGGTATACAAAACGTTGTTTGTCCCCAGGTCCTGGGACATTCACAGCTCAGAAAAATGTTGTTTACCGCTAAAATAAACCATGATGCTTTTGTGTTTGTTCTCAGAGACATTCCACAAGGGCTCCCCCAGAGCACAACCTGTGGTATAGATGATACATACTGCACTGTATGATGTCCAGAGCTCCTTATCTGTCTTCCGCTGTTATGCTTTATCGGTTGAAGCATAACTGTCAGGATTTACTTGTTGAGTTGTATCTCTTCAGTTATATCTTCGTTTGATAATGACTTTATCTTGTGTTTTTTCCAGACTTGCTGTGTCCTGTTTCCTCACAGTTAAGATAAGCTGGTGGTTTAAAAAAAGCCCAGGGCTATAGTCATAAAGAAATATAGGTTTTGATTATATAATACATCTCTTTTAATGTGCTTGTGTAGTAACATACTGGCATATGTGAAAGGACAGTGGCTGGCCTTTACAGCATAGTATAGATCTGCTGGAATCCGTCCATCTCAGAGGGACTGAGGTAAAACGTCATGCCTCTTTCCTCATGTTCTGACAATGTTTCTCTGTAATAGAAAGGGAAACTGGAATTGGTGAAGCCTCGTGTTTGTTTAACAAAGAGACTGAGACAAAGTGAACAAGGATCCAGTGTGGGGAGAGGTGTCAGGTCCAGGGCCAAAGCTACAATCGCCTCTTGCGTGATTACCTCATTTAGCTACAGAGTGACAGGGTGTCAGATGTGGTCACAGCAGGGTGAAAGTCTGCTCCAGCGGGACACAGATTATGAGGGGAGCCTCCGCCTGAAGCTTGCACTGCCCAGCTTGCCCCTCAGGTTCAGTGGCTCAACTGTTTGGCAAAAACAACCCTGTTAGGAGTACAGGCTCAGTAAATGGATATCTACTCTGAGTTTCGCTCTACCAAGCCAGACCACTGAATTATTAAAAAAGAGCTGAGTCCTTCAATTTCATGCTGGAACTGGCGAGCACACAATCGCACAGACAGACAGACATGTACTTTTAAACAAATGGCTAGACCATTGATTAAACTCTGTTAAACATTATTCTTTGTCCCGTCTTTAGTTGCTAGAACCAATACTGCACATGCCTAAGAAAGCTTACTGCATTTGTTAGCAGGTGACTGGATCTCTCACCTGCATTGTGGACCTTGTAACTCAGTCTACCTGCTGCAGACTTAGTGCCAAAACAAGCCTGTCAGCACATTGGATTTCAAGTTTTGCACCGCTTGCCTTCGCTGGCAAGAACTGCGGACAAACTGGAAATCCTGGTTTTATTTGGACAAGTACTGTACGGAAGAGGAACAGTGGGATTTGAGAATTGTGCTTCATTTCTCTTTGACTGCTGTCGGTTTTGTGGTTTGAACCACCATCCTAGTGGAATTTGAATGCTGGCTGTCTTATCTGTGCACATATTGCATCTCCTACTTTGAATAATTTGAACACCTTTCAGTCTCAACCTTGACATCCAACAGTATTTGTGTGTGTGTGTGTGTGTGTGTGTGTGTGTGATTATGGGAGAAACGTCATCGGTACTTGTATGGTGTAGAGTGATGACTCTGAAACACTTTCAGAGCTACTAGAACAGAAATGACCTTTGCAGGCCTTTGCACTCACACATAAAACACACACACACACAAAAGCAATGGGAGGCATTGGAGAGATAAAATGAGGAGGGGGTGTCATGGAGTCATTGGGCAGTGTCTGGGAGGTGGAGGTGATTAACTGTTTCCATTCCCCTTTGGTTAACCCTGCGCTGTGAAATATCACCTTATCACAACAATAGGGCTGCTCCACTGAAGGAGGTACCCCAAAGTGACAAGCCAAGAGCAGGGTGCCTTTTTGAACGGGGGCTGGAGTGGGGTTGCTATGGCGATGCCTGTCAACCGGGAAGTCCTTTGCGGAGGCAGGCAGAGTGAGGGCTGGGAGTTAGAGAGAGAGAGAGAGAGAGAAAGAAAGAGAGGCAGAGAGATTGCGTGTCCTGGTTACTTTCATGAGTGAGAGAAAGAGGAGAGAGGGTGTGCAGCTGCGTGGTTTACGTGCAGGCAGACAAGGACGTGTAAGTTCACTTGTTGGTGTCACTTTTAAGGTGAGTACACTCTTTCTGATGGGAGCACAGATTTAATTCACACGGAGTGATCTTAAACATTGAGAATCTATAGAAACTTTGGTGCTCGGCTGTATGCTTTTTTAAGGTGGAGCAACCTGTCTGACTGCTCAGGACTCCACAGGATTAGTGCTGCTGACCTACCCATGAGTAGACTGTCTTAAAGGAAGGATGCTTTCACAGTGCACCTGAAAACAGGTTGACCCATGTGATCTGTGTAGTTTTGATGTTGAAACAGACCTGTGGGAGTTGAGCTTTTGGGCTAGTGGAGGCGAGAGCAGCTGTGAGTTACAGCTGGAGCACAGAGAGAGAGAGAGAGAGAGAGAGAGAGAGTGAGAGTGAGAGAGAAAGGGCACTGTGGGCAGTGTTTCCCAACATGTCATCCTTCATTGCTCTGCCCAGTGGGTATGTGCACACTGACAACTGCCAGCTGAGCTCCAGAGAGTCGGAGGAAATCTGTAGTTCTGTCAGAGTACTTTTCCCATCCTGCTGCAGATTCCAAGCCATAATGACCTGAAATCCGGATGGTCCAGTCATCACCGATGGCTCCCCTTACTGTCAGGGTGATTTCCACAGCCGGCTCTGATTCCCTTTGTGATATTACTGAGGCTCTGAGCTGCCAGTGCTCATATCCACAGGCTGCACTCAGCTCTGAAGATGCAAAATGACAGGCACGAGGATTTTTTTTACAGTTACTGCAATCTGAGTGTGTATTTTCTCATGCTTTGCCTGACACATTGTATTACAGTTTAACTGTTACAAATCTTGAATGATATAAAATGTTTGTTGTAAGAACATATCTGAGAAAACCGCACAGTGCTCCAGCTCTTCTTGAAGAGAGAGGCTTTGATTTATTGCCCTGCAGCTCCTCCTGGGAACAAACCGCCTCTCCATTGACAAGAAGCACACAGACCGACTCCTCCTGGTGCCCAGACTGGAGGAGCACCATACAAGGAGGTGAAATACCTCCCTCCTGATAAATGTGTGTATCCCCCAATAACTGCATATCATAAACTTGCAGCTCCAGGACCTTGTATGGGCTGCGTCCGCGCATCTGCTTAGATGCAGAAGGGCAACATGGTTGTCTGATCAACCTCGCAGGACCTCTAACATCTCTCACATAACTGCAGAGTGACTCATTTAATGTGTTTAGAAATAAATTCCCCCTTTATTTATTCACCAAATGTGCTTGTAATTACCCTCTCACTACTTTTTAAGGCAGGATTTCTGCTTTTTTTACGACCCTGTTATGTAACTTGTTGGGCAGCAGTATCATTGTGTACGTGCAAATGGGTGATAAGACTTTACCCTTCTGTCTGCTGCGTTGTTCTCTGTTGATCCAGGATATGAATTTTTTTCAGAAGATCAGAATCTGTTTATACTTTTTGAAGATTCTACAATATGAGTGTTTTAGGTCAAATGTAATGTAGGGCAGTGTTCACCAAACAAAATAACCACCTTAAGTAAATACTGAGCTCATATTTTGTTCGGTTTCCTTCATGTATGTGAGTAGGACTTGCAGTCGCTTCCACCTTATGGAGTCAATGATTAACTCACCGTTTTTCCTCACCACCCTTCACACGGAAGCAAAGAACAACACGTGTGATAATGAAAGGGATCACTAATGAATAGCGACTGGTCCACAAGTGACAGTTTTATTTGTTTTATTTAAGTCTCAGGACTTTCAGTCATTGACCCTGCTCCTTACTGACACATTCTCCACCGTCACATGCTTGTATAGATGATTTATGGACAAAGTGATTCTCCCTTTGACCACAAATCATTACTTTCCTGACGGTGCGCCAACAGATCACAGAAGTTCATGGGTCAGCACTGTGACAGTTATTCATTTGAGTATGTTTGGTCACCTTGACAGCCTTGTTCTTAGAGAGAACAATGCAAGATGCCCTGCATGTGGTGGAGAGGGAGGTCATCGTAGGTCAGGGTCTTCTCAGAAAACCTGGTTGCATCCTTCTATGGAAGAAACTGAACGTCAGAAGAGGGAAATGTGATGACTAGTGAATGCTGAGGAATACCAACATCATAATGAGTTCAGTAGTCATCAATTGGCCTTGCAGTTGTTCTGAAAGAGAACTGTAGGGCGGATGTTTTGTCTTTTCACACATTTTTAGGGTTTGCCCATTTCTGCAGTAGTTTTTCCTGCATTACTATGTTGCTATTCCCGGCTGTGGAAACCTCCCATTGTGATTCATAGGAGTCACACGGGTGTGGTGAAGTTCACTGACCTTGTAGCAGCTGAGTAGGTCTGCTCTGGCTCAGCAACTTCAGATAATAGTCTGGTTCCTCATCCGCACCCAAAGGAGAAGGAAAATAAAAAATGTGCTTGCTTTTTTGCTTTTTTAAGTTCATCACAACACAAATGTTTAATTTCAGGATGTTGATGGAGCTGTTTCATGGATCAATTTACATAGATTAACATCTGGCTCAGTGCTTCAAGAAACCGGATGAGTTTCCTGGGGACAGAGGCAGAGATTTCCACGCTTAATTCCCCTGATTCTCATTTTCAATGTCCTTAGTTACCCTGATGGATTATGGGTAGAAGACAAGAGAAGATACACTGCCAGTTTTGAAAAGCAAGTCAAAAGCAGGACATCATCTCATCTTCAGCTGTGATGTGAATGGGCCTTTTATGGCTCTGTTTTTCCTTCCACCCCAAAACTGATCCTGTGGTGATAATGAACCTCTCACCTAGCAGGGGTTTAACTTGTAAATATGTGGACTATAAAGTTCATATATTTTAGAAAGATAGCATCAAGGCACACCGCCAGTTCTAAAAAGCTGTGTCTCCATGTGAAAGCTTATAGCTGCCTCCGCTGTTGAGTCTCAGTAATTACATAAGAATGCACTGGGCGTTCAGAGCAAACCCATGGAGAGCCAGACTTCTGGACAGGGATTTTCTTGCTAGATATCGACACTGATTTTTCCTTATTAGGTAGGATTGTGTTCTGTGCTCTCGAACAGGGAATGCATGGGCTGCTGGAGGATTTCTCTGTTGAAATGAGACCCAGACGCACTGTTATGACATTAGCTTACTCATCAGGATGCTGCATCGATGAAGCAGAGCTTTTCAGTTTTTGAGCCTCTGAGTGGAGGGAGTTTCAATGTCAACTTTATAATAATGTAGTGAAAACAAAAAGTGGTCAATGAGTCTAATAATGTGAAGTCCAATTAGAATGGTATTAGTTTATTTTGACTTATTAGAACAATACTTATTTCCACATTAAAATGCATATAAACAATAGACCTATGTTCTATATTTTGAGTTATGTACTTACATTATCCCAAATATGTCGAACAATGTTCAAACCTAGAGAAATAAGCAATGTTATTCCAGTAACGGTGCGTTTCACTGGTCGCCTGGTAATGGGGTCATATTCCCTCTGCGCATGCAGCAACATTGTGTTTGTCTACCAGAAGCTGTCATAAATGTATTTACTTTTTATCCAGTTTTAAGCCTTATTTTTACGATACACTTTTTAGATCTTGATTGTTTTTAACTATTGATTCTAACCTGATGAAGGATTGTAGTCATCGGACGCCTGGATCAGCTATTATCTAATATTATCTAATTTTAACAGCTCAGATGTCAACGGCTCGCAGCCTCTCCAAACAACATCAGAGTAACACTGGTCAAACTGCTTTATTCAGTCTTTTAACTGGTTTTAATCAGCGGGACCATGTATTTTGGAGAGGAGGAGAGCAATGGTGGTGAAGACAACAACTCTTGATGACTTGTTTTGAGAGACCTCTACCGCAGAAATTACATATTGTATGTTTAACCAGTGCCCCCTTTAAATCTATTTTAATTTATTTTTCATATTTTCTAGTAACCACATCCATAATGAAATGCATGTTTGTGAAAAACATTTGCTGCTTGATAAGCAGCAGTGTTTTGAACACTCGGTGAGTTAGAGCTATTTTCTCTTCAGGATTTCAGTATCATATAAGTCTGTGTATAAACAGTATTTGTTGAACATGCCAATGAATTACTCATGTAGTTGTTTGTTCATCAGTGTGATGGGGCCTTTAAAGTAAATGGCAGCCTGCTGAGAGGATGTCTGGTGTAAATAAGGACCAGCATGTCAAACACATTGTAAATGGGATTACTTTAAGCCATTATTTGTAAATGTAGCTTGTTTGCAGTGTTGCCTATTGTTAGACGGATAATCAGCTGGCTGTGATTGCTTTGGTCGATGAAAGGTCATCTGTTATGCCTGAGCAGTAATGGTATTGTTGTAGATATTTTTCCTGTTATGTAACGTAGTTTATTGGGAGATGATGACTCAGATAGAGTGACATCGTTGTCTGGAAACTAGAACATTGATTCTATCACTGCTGCCCCCTAACCTTGTGCACAGAGACACAGAGAGCGTATAGTTTTCTCTGTCTTGACCACAATGATTATAGACTCTAATGCTCAGCTGCAAATGCCACATGGAAAACTCATCAGTGCAGATTGAGTAGGGCAGCTCTCAGCCCGTAGTAGCCCGGCCCACACTTGGTCAGTACTTTCTTGCCAAGCTACAAAGCCATAGTTTTCACGAGAACTGAAAAATAGCCTAATCCTTATATTAACCCTATTGTTTGCTTCAGTAATTATTATCTCTTGTGGCTTTTCCCCAAGATTAGACAAGATACATTTTGACCACAGTCTGTGTGCACAAATTCTGCAGAAGCCAGGGCTGCAGGGATGGAGGGCTGTACATTGGCTGTGGTTTCTATGCCAACACATGTTATTATAGGCCATTTAGCCACTGTAGATGAGAGGTGCCCCATACAGGATCGGAAATGGCCTCCCCCTCATTTTCCCCATGCCTTTGATGTTGAAACAGTAGGCCTAATCTGTTTTTCTGAGGTGCAATTGATTAGGACCTTCTCTATCATACAGCTCCTCAAGTCCAGCTTGTTATGGCATTGTATGAATGGGAAAAATGAGGCGGGCATGTGAGTCACACACATTGTTTTGGTGGGTTTTTTCCTTAGAAACAGGGAAAAGTGGGTGACGCTAACTTTCCCTCTTTGGAATACTAGTGGGATGGGATAATGGAACAGTTGTCAAAGCTGCCTGGATGTAAAATGTAATTTATGATTTTATGGAACCCCACACAACTAATGACCCAAAGGGTTAAAAAGGGCACACTGGAAGATTCAGAATAAAAATGTAGAAGATAGGATCAGATTATTTTCACAAACATCGACTGGATATCACTAGTTAAAAAAATAACACATCTACAACCTTTAAAGGCCCTGAAAACCTGTTATCAAAGTCCTAATGAACACATAATTTTCTGCCCAGAAAAGTTGTTTGACATGAACATTTTTTGTATCTATGTCTGTGCTCTATTTACTGGTTTTGAAACTCTATCTAAGGCACTGTTGGAAAAAGGGTATGTGACCTATTTCTGTGCAACAATCAGGATTTAGCAGAATCACAATGTGAGGATGTTGTGGGATTGAGTGTTTAAATCTTAATAAATGTATAATTTGTTCTCTAACTTTAACTTTGATTGCTCCTTATCTAGTTGTTAATATTTCATTTTATATGGAAAAAATTTAATGACTTTAATAAAAAAAAATCTCCAGGACATTTCCAATCATTTATCATCAAGGTCAAGCCATCATGAACTGGCAATACAACATGCATGACAAAAAAGTAATTTACATTTGCACATTAAAATAAAATAAACAATAGCAGAGAGGCGAAGCTGATGAAACTATATATTAAAGAGGTTTTTTAATTTATCTTTTAAAAAAAATATAGCCTGGCTTATATTCTTGATATTGCAACTCCTCTGAAAAATATTTGTATGTCTTTGCAGACACTTTTGATGCTGGCTGCAAGATTTTGATATCTGTCAAACAAGGACCAAAACAGATCACATGCAGTCTCAGGTAAAGTCATGTTTAATTACACTAAATATTGACATTTCCAACTTTTTAACAAATGCCATTGTCATGAATATGCACATTTAAACCCGCAAAATCTAGGAACAACAACACTAATGAGTGTCACTTAAGTCAGTCCAGTCTAGTGTCACAACAGCATGCCTTTGGTGCAGATAACTGTGTTACCACGAGGCACAGGGGCTTTCCCATGACCCTTGGCAACCACACAGAGAGGACCAAAGCACCTGATTCAAATACATTAGTAGATGAGCAATACTGGCCATCATGGATGGGGGGAGTAAAAAGATCACTATGGAGACCACAAGACCACTGCTAGCCCTGCTGGACTTTGAGGTTGACATCACAGCCCCTTCCCAACCTCTCTGCCCCCTGGCTCCACCCCCTGGCTGGAGAATAGGGAGGCCTGGTGAATAGGGAGTTAATGGGCTCATAATGGTCCTCTCCTGTTTCACTGCCCCCACTCTGCACCTTGAATGAGGCCTTTTTTCAGTCATGGCAAGAGAGATGATGAAGTGGGTGGAACACCACTTCCCACTGGTCCTGCTTTAAATAAATTAGGGGCCTTTTCATCAGAAGCTCCCCCACAGAGGCCAGTTATTCTCTGGAGAATAGCTGGACCGCTAACAAGTTCACACGACCTCCCATAGAGAGCGGTATTTACCCAGAGCCAACAGGAGGACATGACAGGAGCAAAGTTCACACATTGTTTTTGTTCACCCATATTTCTCATTTCCTCTATGTTTAGCAACGTGCAGAAGTTGTTGGCGATCCAAATGGCTCCCGCATTATCTTCTCCAAGGAGCCTGGAGGTTCCTCTGGTCAGCAGATTGTAACTTCCCCAGAGCTGACCCATGAGGTGATCATCTCCCCTGGACTCCCTACGCCTCCTCTGAGCCCCTTTTGCTCTGCAGGGCTGCCATTAGGAGAGTTCAAGGTATGCACAGTAATATCCTAGAGACTGTGTTTATCACAATGCTGAGGTGGAGTGCAGGGAATTCAGTAAACAAGTGCTCCTCCCTGTGGAAAAATAATGCATCACAGGTTCAGTTCAGCCATGGCCATGTTTTGAAACCATCACTGTTACATTACACTGAGATATTTGTATTACTGTTATATGTACATGATTCTGCCCTTCTCAAGGTTTCAGAAGTGAATGGAAGTGGACCAACAGGTCTCAGCTTTGGATCTTACTATGGTCCCTCACAATCGCATGGTAAGGAGTTTTTAAATGTGTGCATCTCATGAGAGCCTCACTTAATTTAGGGGAAGTTTGAATAAGCGAAGATGTTAAGCATCATAGGAGTGTTACATTGCATTAAATGAGTTTTATGTGACTGAGGTGGCAACATAACTAACAATAGAAATAGCAATTAAAATGTAAATGTAACGGCTGATAATGTAATAAAACTTCTGATAGGAGTCCAAATGTCAGTTAAACTGTAATTGAGCTGGTGAAGGTGAAGTGGAACTAAAACAAATGAATGTCAGTTCAAGTGTATAAACTGAAGAAGGTGTCAGTTTAAGTGTCAGCACTGAAAGCAGTTTGAGTAAAGTACTACAGAAGTTTTCCTCTGTTCAAAGGTGAGGGCACCTGAAAGGATTTGAAGTGTCAGTCAAAGTGTAACCATTGAAAGGAATTAAAATCTTAGTTGGAAAAGAAATATTAACACAGCTGGAATATCAGTTGACATGTAACCACTGCAGTTGAATTGTCATTTGTAGAGTAAGAGATGAAAAGAGTTGAAGAGTAAGAGGCGAGTGTAGTTGAAATGTCAGTTGACGTGTAACAACTGAACAATGTTGAAGACTTCTTTAGGTTTCATATTATGTGGTAGATTTTAAATGAATGGCTGTACACTTTACCTGAAATCAATAAGTAATCGAAACAACATGATGACTGAAATTGTACTGTTGTGACTGTAACCCAGGTGGCCTGTCCAATGGCGTCCAGAGCTCTGCCACTTTACCACGCAGCTGGGCTCCCACCAGGGAGGAGAGGCTTATCAAGTTCTCAGGAATCGGTCCAGTGGATGAAACTGGGATGCCCATTGCCTCCAGATCAGTAAGACAAAGAAAAAGAATATGCTGTTTGATAATCAGACACCAGCTTTAAATTGTATTAATTTATCTATTTAATTTATGTTGATTTTAACTGACATTTTTATGTTCTTGCTACACCCGATGTGTTATATTTCTAATTTCTAAAGTCTAATTCGCCAGAGTTGTTTACCCTCTGCATCCTATCTTCTTTTCTTGTACCAGAGTGTGAACAAGCCCAGAGACTGGTACAAAAGCATGTTCAGACAGATTCACAAGAAGCCAGAGGGTAAGGGATGCTCCTCCTCCTTGTCCTCCTCTTCTCACACACACACACACACACACACACACACACACACACACACACACACACACACACACACAACTCAAGAGAGAATTCCTCTCTGTCAGTGTCTAAGTACTGCAGAGTTGATCCAGCAAACAGATTATTGCAGAGGCAAAATAAGACATGATGAAAGAGCCCTAAAGTCTTATGTCATTTTTACTTATTAGCTCTGACAATAATCCAGCTTCTTATCTGAGCCCCTCCTAAATCTAGCTGTTCGTTTGTCTCTATTACGTGTTGCGTAATAGAGACACATTCCCTGTTATTTGTGTGGTAAATGGCACCATCGCAGCGATGAGATGGTTTTAGTGGATTCCTCTAGATCAGTTTTCTTTTAGAGGAATTATTTTCAACTCTCTGCAAGTTATTCGTCTTCTTAAACAAACAGTATTGCATTTCAAAGCACTGAGGACAAGCTACAATGTAACTCACTGGTGCTACTGATGTGCTGAGGGTTTCTGGGAGAGAGTTTTTCCACTATATTTATTTTATTAGCTGTACTAGTTACTTTGATGTTTATGTACAAAACATGTAATTAGCTTATAAAATATGATGGCTAAACTATGCAACAGTATCTAAAGTAGGTAAGACTGGCTCCACCTTGACCAACATTTAAAGGCTGCTTATGTGTTCATACATCAGTAAAAATAATCAAATTATATAATATAGATAAAATACACTCTTAAATAGGCCATTCTGCAAGACTTTTATACTGATTAATACATTTACTTTAGTAAAGGATCTGAAACACTCCCTCCTGCACACTCACTGTGAGACAAACCCAACCATACTGTAATGGGAAAAAAATGGAGAAGTATTATATTTTGCTTGATTTCTATGTACTGCATTTTTTTAAAGTCTAAAATAAAAATCTATCTGTTGTACCCATTTACCAGAACCTGAGCTGGAGGATTCAGAGCGGTGGTCAGCCGAACGTAAGTGAATCCACCAAAGTCCACATTGTTATTATGCCAGTTCTTACTTAAGACTGATCTGCACTGATCCACTGATCTGCACTGATCCACTGATCTGCAGGGCTCCAGTTATCTGCCAACACAGAAGAAAGCAATGAAGCTGACAAGAATCTCTTCAGACTAACACCTTATGGAGCTCTACCAGACTGGTGAGTTTATACGGGTTTGATGTAACTGCTCCAGGGTCATGGGGTGGCTTAGCATATTACACGCAGCATGCACTGGAAAGAAAGTAGGCAAGCTGTCAGTCCATCACATGGCACATACAGACAGACGGACAATCACTCACTTTCACACCTTTGGGGCAATTTAATAAAGTCTTGAGTCATCCTGAGCTGCATATTCTTTCTACTGTGGTAGGAAAGTTAAACCTTCGGGCTTATAGTCAAAACATGCCAACAGGAAGGCCCAGCGGCAGGAATCAAACTTAAAGGAATAGTTCAACTTTTTGGGAAATTTGCTTACTCGTTTTCTGTACTTTAAGTATGTCTAAATATGTAGCTTCAGCCAGCAGCCCGTTAGCTTAGCACAAAGACTGGAAACTATCGATTCTCGGATAGAAGGCGAACAAGGACACTTCCCAAAATGCCCAAAACTACTACTTTAAGCTCTTGCTTTAGGTTATCCCTGTATCTCTGTACCACCTCAGGACCAAGTTAATTTAGTCTGGTTCAAAAGATTAAACTATTACACCAGCTAAGTTCAATAGAATGTAAAAGCTCCCTTTCCATGCATCACAAAAAAGTATAAAGATGAAAGAAATTAAATAATTCAATATGCAAATTCAGCTACTGAAACACAGTATTTTAAATGTGTAGCAAGAGAGGAGATTTAACAGTAGGCCTATATTGACTTTATGTATGTAGCTTGCTGTTTTTTTAAACTACACCAATATGAATTTATTCCTCACATCAGATAAACACTGCTCTGGTGACGTCTTATGTGAATACCAACCAAAATTCAGGCTAAGAGCGTTGGAGGGAAAACGTGTAGGACAGACAAGTTTGGATTTGTTGCTACAGGTACTCACTATGAAGCCATGATTAAGTTGCTGTCCATGGTGTGTGTGTGTGTATATGCGTGTGTGTGTGTGTGTGTGTGTGTGTTGGGGTGTTATGTTTCAGGAGTGAGGATGTAGATAAGCTGTCAGACCCGGGAAAGCAGCACCCTCAGCCGAAGAGCATATTCGACTTTGAGCCTGGAAGGAGCACTGCCTCAGAAAGCCACAGCCAGGTACGACCTCATGCAGTCACAGTTTGAAAACAGGCCGTGATATCACTCTGATCCCAGCAGACAAAAAATTCTCTGCATGATTCTTTAACCTCTAGATTTATCCAGCGTTGTTGGCTCTAATCACTGCAATTCTTTGTGTAGTCTTTGACTGTTTTCCCAGTGTGGGGCTCAGGAACAGGTTTGAGGATGGGCACCTTTTCTTTAAGGATTATAGTCTAAGTCCTCATATTTCATCTTCTCACGCGAGGTAACTTGTGAGTGTGGTCATTCCACAGTGTACCTGCTGCTTACCACCAGATGTGCTCACTTCTTCTTTTATTTAGAGGATTCAATAGGCTTCCAGCTTTTATTCATTTAGCTTTTCAGACAAGAAAAGACATGAGAAAAGTATTTATGTTGTTTCAATCAGGTATTGTACTGACAGCCAGTGATTTATTTACCTCTGGGATTGTAATTTATTATCTTGTGTAATCTGCACTGTCCAGGAGCTGTTGTAATTGAGTGTGCAGCCGTTTGTGTGTTTAAACACCCCTGGTGAGTTACAGAGCGGTGTCTGTAATGGTTCTTTTTGTTAATGGCTATTGCAACAATGTCCCAGATCTGGTGCATATTGTGCCTTGTGTCTGCGCTTGTGAAGAAAAGCAATCTTTGTTTCCACCCCCCCACGGGAGCTGAGGTGTCTTGTGATCCTTATTATGGTGTTAACCTCTTGTGGTGTATAATGGCTCACACAGCATGGAGACTTATTTCATTTCCTCTTCATGACAGCGGAGCAGCCTATGTTCTATCCCCTGGATGGCGTTTAGGAAACCAGCGCACAGACCATATCAGGTGTTGTGCAGCTTCACAGTGACATTACAGTCTGTGAGGATGACTCCCACCTGAGGGGAAGGTCTTGGCGTTCAGAGAGACACATTCAGCCAAGGTTTTTTTTTTTTTTTCAAAAACCCTGAAAATGGAGCAGAGGCTCTGTGGTTCTCGCCAGCAGAGCCTTTTAAAGTAATGCTTGATAGAATCAGCTGCTCGCTTTGTGTCAAGTCTCTGTAAAGAAAGAGGGTGAATGCTAGTTCAATCATGTTCCCTATAATATGGACAAAATAAATATGTGGGTGTTTCCTTACACTTTTGCTGGCATCTCGGCATTCAGCCTGCGGCCAAATGTGGTTTAACAAGCTTTAATCAGTGTATTGACTTTCCAGCCATTGTTCAGTTGGTCACAAATCCCTCTTAACTCCTAAACACACACATTGTCAAATGGTAGCAGCATGGCTTAATTAAACTGTTAGGGGTACAGGACAAAAAAATACTGTAAGTCCCTTTTCCCCCCACTGTACAGCTTCATTATTTCCTCAGACACCCAAAAACATATACTCCTCAATACTTCTATACTGGAATAATGTTTCCTGTCGTCAGGTTTTCTGTGTGTCAAGTACTTTGGGTTAAGGTTCCTAAAAGTAGATTTTAGCAGGTAACATACAACTAATTCTTGTAGTGCGTTGAGTGAACCTTTTGAGCCCCCTGGGTGATCAGTTTGTTAACAATATTATGAGAAAAGAAACTTCTTTCAGTGTTTCAATCTTTTTCTGTCCTTAGGCTCATCTATCCCTGAAGAAACAGCCTGAGAAACCAAAGTCCCCTTCTATTGAAGTGAGTTGCTCTGACAGCATTTCAATTTCCACCTTTCTGTATCCACCCTGTCAAGGTTTCCCCTTATAAACCATTGAAAAGGGACACCATTAGCTCCAAAAGTCACATTGTTTTAGTACACTGTATTAGTGTTTTAACTTTGCCCTTCCAACTCCATCATTGCTCGGGCTCAGGCCAGTCTGGTCTCTGAGCTGAGTCGATTTGAGGCTGAGCTGGACTCGGAGATCCAGGGCCTGGAGAGGAGGCTTTCCCAGAAGAAGCAGCATCGAGGCCGGGGTGAGGTACTGAGCCCCCCTCCTGACTCTCTCTATTGAAGCACCCCCCCCAATCTAGCAGAATCCTCACCCCCCCACCCCCACCCTCAACCCTACTCCCCCTCTCTCAATGAAGGCTGCGTGTCTCAGTGAGACCCTCCCTGCTTTGCTAGCTTTGACCACGTATGTTGTTTTCCCTCTGTGACCTGGATGACAGCCCTGGAATCACCTGCCTGCCTTGCACTTGGATTGATCTGCTATGTTTAATCACCTGCCTGCAAGTTTTGGCTGCCAAAAAATTGAAGAACCTTTGCAATCAATTTCCTTTAAATCACATTTTTTTTGATAATGTTGTTTAGAACTTCCCTTTGTAATCCAACAGTGCTTGTTTTAGAGAGCGACTTGGATGTAACCCTGCCAAAAATGCTGTTGATTCTGATTAAATTTGCTTCATAGCCTGTGATTTGACTGAAATCACAGACAGCTCAGACAGATCATGAGTGGTGTTTGTTTTTTAGCCCGAGGAGGATAGGACCCAGGGGATTTCTTGCTCCTTTGGGAGTGGTCAGCACCTCTACTTTGTCTGAGTTGTTGTGAGATTTCCTCAGCTGTGTGATACAGTAGACTGCAGGAAACAAACTGTGTTTAATGTTCACTCTGCTTTCAGGAGGCCAGAAACAGGGATCCGGTACCTGCTCCAAAGACTGGGACTACAAACTACAGGTCAGTGACAACATTACTTAAGAAAGCATGTGACTCCACATTACTCCAAATTATATTTAGCAGGTTATAATGACATCTTTACCAACCTTTTAACCACATTTTTCATCATTTGAGATGCATTTTTACAATAGATTCCACTAAAAGACTCACTCAAAAGTGTTTTTTCAGCATTATAGTGTCTTTTAAACTCATGTTGCATCACATGGCAAAGTAGATTCAGGGCTTTCAGTACTGACTATGAATAGTATGTTTCTTGACACTTTTTTTGTGTACAAAGCTGTATCACTCCTGTTTTTTGTAGAGTGATGATTTTTTTGTGTTGAGTTCATACAGAAATATATGTCAAGCGGGTTGAGAAATTGAAAGTAGATAACTAAATGTAAATAAGGTTATTGATGGTGATGTTTAGCCGGTCTTACAGTGATGTTATTTTCATTGTGGGAATTGTATTCTAGAGACACAGGTTAATGGAAAGGCCTGGGTCAATCGCCACACAACAGACCTCCTTAGCCCAACACCCAGCCTCTTAATCCTCTTTGATATTGCTTCATCAAGTGGGAGTAACTGCACATTGCTTCCTGCTGTTTTAAGAAAAGCGAGCGGTGTGATTGGACAGCACCAACATTAATACTTTGCAGGGTACCTGTTCTCTTAGTCGATCAGGTGACTTTCTGTGCTGGATTCTGTTAGGAAGCTGTTGAACTTTAACAACTTCAAGTACAGTATTTGTTACTTCAAACAGCAGGCAGCATTCCACATTTCTCACCATGTGTGTAATGCTTTCTGGGAGGATTCTCGCTGTTGTTTGCTAAGTTGAGTTCATTGGGTTTGACCTTTCCTGGCTTAGTGGGCTAAGGGGGCTTTTTTAAATGAGCCAGTTGCTAAGGACATGTGAAACTAAACTATATAGCAGCAAGAAATTGTCAGTGTATTAGCATTTCCTGTTATCAAGACAAGTTGTTTAGCTATGCGCGTCCAGCTGCAAATGTTGGAACACAAAACAACCCTGTCTGGAAATATGCAAATGAGTTCAGAGGAAATCAGGCAGGAAGCTTTGGGTTTTGGACTCATTCTTAAGCCAGACACAACCAGACTCATGGTTCTGATCATGAGTTTCAGGGCTGTAAAGATAATTTAAGCTACAAACTTCATCAAAACCAGACTGTCCTTTCAAGGATAAGAACATGACTCACACAGTATCATCTGCATGCCCTTCTAGCCAGTCTGATTATTTGTCTCATCCCTGTCCATTGTATGAAAACCAACAGCTGCATCCAGATGTGCTGTAATGTAAATGTGCAGAAAAACGCCACACACTGTCTCCCAGCAGAATTGGGCTGTGTGTATTTGAGTGTGTGCGTGTTTGACTGCCATTTGATGTAATTAGAAACCCTCCCACCTGATTGGGAGACACAATGACAGTAATATAAACATAAAAAAGCTTATATTTTCTTCACTTTTTCAGCAATTCATCAGCCTCAAAGCAGCCTGTCCATCGCTCTGTTGGCACATCAACCTCTGCTCCCACATATGGTAAACATGGAGTTTTGGCTCAGCAACACACATGCACATTGTGATTTTCCCACCAACTTTTAAGAGCCCTGGTAGTGTATTTCTATCATTACTGTCCATAAGTAATCGTCTTCTCCTCTTCCTCTGCCTTGAACCGCTGACCCACCACAAGATGTGTGCACTCTCAATGAGCAGGCCTCTCATTTAATCAGGCAGCATACATTTGATGAAAGCTTTTAGTAATCTAATTTATTTATTTAAGGTCCCATGATTCTCTTTCATTGCAACTGTTGTTGTCTGCTCTGGTATTTGACATTTTAGATGAGGCTGCTGAGAGCATGGAAAGCTTTTGCAGTTCTTTCCTATAGAATCAGAGGGTATTGTAGATGGGTGGGGAGGAAGCCCGCAAAAATAGGAAGTGGAATTCGGAAGACCTGATTAAAGATTAGCTTTATCCAATTGTTTTTCCTGGAAATGAGTCCAGAGAGAGCCAACCAGAATAATTTTCAAGATCCCTTTTGAACTTATTTGTTAAAGCTGTGATTATCTTTTCATAGCAACACCTTAAAAAATAACATTTGTACGAAGGAGTGCACACTGCAGACTCCTCTCATACCGTTCTGCTTTTACGTACACAGTAGAACGTCTCTCTCCTGCAAATGAAACCATGGAGCTGCCACCTAAGAAAGAGGAGAAAAAGGTATGTTTCTGTGGCTTTCTTGTTATTTTTAAAGGGAGGAAAGATGGCTGTTGTGTGGTTTTAAGTTGTGGCGTTTTGTTTTTGTGATATGAATTTCAGAATTGTTCACATAACAACTGCATCTGTACAAATCTTCCCAAACACTGAATGTTTGTTTTTCCAGATGAAAGCAGCACGAGCCAAGTTCAATTTCCAGGCTCAGTCACCCAAGTGAGTTACAGTGTGAGCTGATATAATAAATATGCCATTTCCTTGCTTGCAAAGTCATTTACATTTCTGAAAGAAAACATTAAGTCATGGTAATACCAGATGTAATGTTCTGGATCAAATGTGAAGTCTAAATTCTCCTTATAACATACATTTGAAACAATCAATACATTTTGATCTTTGAACTTGTGTCTCAGTTCTGTAATCTAATGAATTTTCCATTTGTGTGCCTCATTATCCTTATTACTTTCTCCAGGGAGCTCATGCTGCAGAAAGGCGACATTGTTTACATCCACAGGCAGGTAGATGCCAACTGGTTTGAAGGAGAACATCATGGGAGAGCTGGCATTTTCCCCACATCTTATGTGGAGGTAAACTTCTTCATTTCATAATTTTTCTCTGTATCGTTACTTTATGCTGGTTATCCCCGTGACACTGTCTCAAATCTCTTTCCTGTGTCCTTCACAGATTCTGCCTCCGACAGAGAAGCCGACTCCTATAAGGTCTCCCACTTTACAGGTGTTGGACTATGGGGAAGCTGTGGCTCTGTTTAACTTCAATGCTGACCTACCTGTTGAACTTTCTTTTCGTAAAGTGAGTAATACAGTGGAGCTGCAACAGAGAGGAGATTGCTTTCCCTCCACATCGAGCCCATGTAGATATTTATACTGGAACACATGAGTCAGTCTCTGGTTGAAAATCTGATGAGCACTTATTAGACATTTCAACATCCTTTCTGAGTTAGTTTAGAAGATTGATGCCACTGCTATGACTGTGTGCTAAAAAGGAAGCTACTGGCAGCTGATTAGCTTAGCTTAGCACAAATACTGGAAACAGGGGGGTAAGCTAGCCTGGCTCTGTAACAAAATCCAACTACCTGCAACTCTAAAGCTTATTAGTTAACATGTTATGTATTGTTTGTTTAATCTGCAAAAAACTGAAGTGTAAAAATGACTTGTGGTTATGTGGGGTTGATGGACATCAGGGAACATCTGAGTAATCAAGTCCTTCAACTCAAAGAAAGTTAGTTTGTTCTGGCAGCCAAAGTGAAACTGCTGTTTTAAAAACATCTAGTAGACTTTCTAGTACATGATAAGATAGCGATGCTGCCCTTGCTGTCATATTAGAATTTCATTTTGTAGCAAAGGTTAGTGTTTAACTAGCATCAGATGTTATATATTTCTCTGTGTAATATTTAACTTTTCATTTTCTCCCCCTCAGGGTGAGGTGATAGATATAACCCGACGTGTTGACGATAAGTGGTTAGAGGGGAGGATCTCAGGGACCAACCGGAGCGGCATCTTCCCAGCCAATTATGTCCAGGTCAACAAGATGCCCCGCACCAAATACTCCACAGATGACTACTCACCTGGCCCAATGTCTCCTGTCTCCCCTGGACCCCCGAGTCCAGGACGTCCACTCCACTCACCCTGCCCGCGGTCACCGTTATCCCCTTTCACCCCTACTTCCCTCAGCCCCAAACCAGAGCACTCCCCCCTGAAGCCGTCGTCACCCGTACCTTACGGCAGCCCAGTTTCACAGTCACGCTCCCCCACCCAGACACCCGTATCCAAAGAAATGGCTAATCGGTGGCCCCACAGTACCTCCAAAACTGCTTCACCTACCAACCAGAACAGCCACTGGCCTGGGACACCCTCAGCTAACCAGAGCTCCATGGCTAGAGCTGTTTCACCTCCCACTCAGCCATCAGCATCTGTACACAGAGCAGGAGCTACCACAGCGCACACTCCCAGATACACTGACCCCTCACAGGTCTGCTCTCACTGCCTGCCTGAGAAAGTCACTGCATGTCCACACCCTGTGTTGCTTTTTGTGGTGACAGGAATGTTGTTCATCATTCTTTAGTTATGTCTGATATGAGGTTTCTCTTTCTTCCAGGGTGCAATACCAAACCAGGCTGCGCCGTCTAATCGACATGTTAACTCCCTGCCGCACACGCAAGTGCCAAACAACCCTGGTTCATCAGTGGGGCAACGCCAACCGTATGTCTCTAGATTTTTATTTGTTTACATTGTTGCAGACCAAGTGTTGCAGCTTTGGTGAATTTGTGGCTCAGACCATTTGTTTGTCTGTTTTTTCTATGTTCTCTATTTTAGATACAAAGCTGTTTACAACTACAAGCCACAGAATTCAGATGAGTTGGAGCTCAGAGAAGGAGACATTGTGCAAGTGATGGAGAAATGTGATGATGGCTGGTTTGTAGGTAAGAGAATAAAGAGATTTATTTTAAAATCAAAATGATAGTCATTTTCAGTATATGTTACTCTCTCAATCAGTCCCTACAGGAAGTTGTGATCGCAACAATTAATGTAAATTAAACCAACCCTCGTGAATCGCACAACCTTGTAATTTTGTCCAATCACTGCAACTTTTCCACAAATTTTACCAATCATTGTAGTTTCCTGCACAAAACTTTGAGCCATACGTCACCAAAATCACTTCCTTGTTTCCGGTTGTAAAAATGCAGACATGTGTGGCACAAACGTCTCACATTTACCCTGTCAAAACCATGTGATTTTATTCTCACTGGTTGCCTTCGATTTTTTATGAATTATGCAAAACAAAACAATTTATTTAGAAAAGCTGCTGTGAAAGCAGGCATTTTATGCTGCAACAATCCCAAAGAAAATCTATGAACTCCTGCAGGGACATTATAGGTCCTGTGGAAACATACAGCATAGTGACGCAGGGAAGATGCATGTAAAGATAAGTGAGAAATTTAAGAAAAGGCAAAAAAGTGTCTTGGTTTTAATCCACATAAGCCTCCAGAATAGCTTCAACGCCTCTCGGTGGGATAGAACATCAATCTTCTAGAAGATTTTGTTTTTATAACATGTTGCTCTAAAATCTTCAATAGATTTGATAGGTCTTTGTTTGTGTTACGATTAGGTGTTTTTGAAGGCCATGATTCACATATTCACACATATCAAACAGTTTAGTGACTTCTTGTGTCCTGTGTATAGTATCTGCATATCTACCTTTATTTAAAATAGGGATTGTTAAAAAAAACTGACTGATGGGAATCACTAAAGATAAAACTTACTGAAGTAAAGGAATGGGATATTATAATAGGTCTACAGTCAACTAATAAAACACAAAATAATTAAATACATTTTCATAAAAATGAATTTGAGGCAACTAAGTTTCTTTGTGAACAATATTGAAACAATTCTGCAGTGTCAGCACCCCCTCTAGTGGACATCAGGACACACTGCAGATGTAATTGGCACAAAAACTTAAAACTATACATTGTTTGAGTTTTAGAATATTATAGAATTAAATATATTCATACATTGATTTGTTTCTGTTGTGTGACCACGGTGTGTGCTCTGCTCTCTGTAGGTACGTCAGAACGGACTCGTGCTTTTGGGACTTTTCCGGGGAATTACGTGGCACCGGTTTGACCTCCCCACTTGCTGCTTGCCCACATCCACCTGGAGCCGAACCAATCACTTACACTCACTCCAACAGATCCTGCTTTGACACCCCAGCGTTTCTTCATCCCAATTACCCAACCACACTCCTACATCTGGTTTAGTCAGACCTGCATGATCTCTCTGTTTCCTAGAACAGAGGTGAAGGCAGGGACATATCTCACCTCACCTCCCTGCATGAGTGCATGCCTCTCTCTCTCTCTCTCTCTCTCTGAGTGTGTGTGTGTTCCACTGAGACATGGAGTGTTTTCAAACACACCACTTGAGAGGAAATAATGAATGCTGATGATACTGTTTCAGATGCAAAGAATGGACTTTTTTGTTCCACAACCATTTGCAGCTGCAGGAAATTTGCATTCCTTCCCACTGAATAACACTGTTCCCTCTGAGGTCCTGATACAGTATGATGTTGCATTCAGCTCTTTGTCACCACAGTGCCATCACAAACCACTGCAAAGAATTTTTTGAATTGGGGTGGCACATTTTTTCTGGCATTTCAGTTGATTAATGTTTCCCCTCAAATATCTTCCTCAGATTTTCTTTCAGATCTCTGAAAATACCCTGGGCAAGTTTGAGGAAACAACACCAAACATCTGTAGACATGTGTCTTTTTTTCACAAGAGTTTCATGTCTTAAAGTGAAGTGCAGTAAGGGCTCGGACAAGTCAAGATACGTTTACAGCCCTTCACTTGGCTATGCAGAAGAGCAAATATAATTATTGCATGTACTGGTCTTTTAAGCAAGTTATTCATTTGAGAATATTTGGCTTTTTTGGATGATCTTGAGTGGATGAGATAGATTATGTTCTGTTCTGTAATAGAAGTTGCTTTACTCTGAAATTAAATGTTGAACCTCTGTAAGTCGTAAAAGATCAGCTCCAAGTTAAATCTAGACAATTCCTCCACAGCAAATGGTTTAATGATCTTTTGAAGTTAATGCTGTACGTGCCAAATCTAACCTTTCGTGTTCCTCTTTTAAATTCTCCACTGAACAATACCAGCTGACTTTATTTCTGCTACATTTGCATCTTTAATGTTTTCTCTGCTTACGGGATTAAAACTTTCACTTTGACAGTATTTCCAAACCACTTACTGTATGTTATCAGTGCAGCCTTTGACAAATGTGGCCTTTCTAAGCCTAATTAGAAATGCTTATCATGAAGTAATTTTGCAGTTTTATATGATATATTCATGATTTTACTGTAAAAAAGAATCATATTTAGTAGCCACAGGAGATGATTGTACAGACTGTAACCTTTTATCAAATTGAAAGTATAATATATATTTGCTTATAAAACAATGTATCTTGTGTATGGTACGCAATTTTTTAAAAAGCAATTAAACATTACAGAGTGATACTGAGAGTCGATTGTGTTCATGTGTTCATTTTGTTAAAAGTATGGAGCTGACTCGCAGGGAACGTAACCCTGATGTTACCTATCCGGTAAGTGTCAACCAAAATAAAATGAAAATACACTGACACTATTCCAGTCATCCTTATTCCCCACATCTCAAAAACTTTACTTTTAAAAACAAAATCTGATAATATGTATACACTGGCCTCTTTATTAAGTAATCTAATACAATCCAAGACAACAGCTTTGCCTTAACATCTATCTTTAGCTCATAATGTTCAGTTTTTGCTGACATGGTTGGAAATGTGCAATCATGGTTAAAAGTGATGTACAGGACTGCGCTACAACTACTTATATTCACAGTTGTTTCTAACTTTTGTCCTTTCAATTTACAAACACGAGGGAGACAAAATATATTAGAAACACCTATGAATATAATGCAGCCAAGTACAACACAATATTAAAACATATAATGGAATTAACACATATGAAAATTTCGAAAACACTAAAATAACAAATGGACTTTACAGGCATCATAAAAGTAGACTTTATGGCAGAGCTGTTGAATTGCATTAGACTGTCCAGGTGTACCTGATTATGTAACTGAATGTTTCTGTATGGTAAACATGCTTCAATGAGATTCAATTTCACTGATACACTGAAACAGACAAAACATACACAGGCTGTAGCAGAAACATACAAAATGTATACTGCAGTGGAAAATGATCAGAACTTTTATTAAAAAGAGAGTAATTGTTATTTATCTCATTGGCGTCGTAAATTTCCACGGTATGTTGACTTTAATTAAGAATAAAGATTAAAAAAACCCAATAAATAACCCAAGGTGAATGAGATTAAAGGAGTTAATAATTGTTGATACATGAAGTGCAGTTTTTGTTTGGTGTCTCTTTTGCGCTTCAGTTCCATCAGCAGCTGTATTTATTTTATATAAACCAGTTTAAAGTCTAACCCCCTAATCAACGACCTTTACACTCGCGACGACAGGTGAAAGCTATTACCTTTAATTAACAGGCTGGGGACAGGGTGGAAGAACCGCAGCACTTGATGTGGCTCCGGTTGCTGCGCGTGCTGCTCTGCCGCACACCGTCAGCAGGTGGCGCGCGGACACAGAACGGAGGCGCAGTGTGTTTTCGGATAAATGGCTCAATTATCACCGAGGCACCCTCCTCTCCTGCCTCCTCTCTGCGGGGACACGCCCCGGATTGTTGCCTGTGTCAAAGCTTTTATTTTGGTAACAGCACATGGCACCGCGAGCTCATCCCAGTGATACCACTGCGCGCGCAGCCACAGGTGGTGTTCATGCGTGCCACCTTGACATCTGAAACAACGGAAGACAGACAGAGACAAGGGACTACCAACTCTTCATCACCGCCTCAGTGCTCCCGCGTTGACCGAGTAAAGCTGCTCTCTGGTTTGTTTTGTTCGCATTTTGGGGGCCAGTTGTTTCAGGCTGAGGGGACCTGCTGTCTGCTGGGTGTGTGTTCACAGTTCAGTCGAGGAGCGCACATTTAGAGATTTAGCAGGTGGAGAAGGCACCTTAAATCACGTTGCACTCACCTTGGTAAGTAAACATGGCGTTATTAATAGCGTCTCAGTGTTTGTAAAGACTCAGCTAATTCAAGAAACTGGATTTGATTTTCTTGATGCGGCTCAAAACTCTTGTGGGTTAAATTATTTTTGTTGTTGGGGTGCTGAATGAGAGCAGAGTTTTTTTTTAAATGCACTTTTTCTTTTTTAGTTTTGTTTGAAAATGTGTTTAATAGCTGTTAGTGTGTTTGATTACAGGTTTACTAAACCTGAAAGACTCGTAACTGTTCATAAAAAAAAATAGTGTGAGAACCTCTGAGGATGCAGTGAAGCCTTGTTAAATTATGATTGATGCCAAGTATTGCGCAGCTGAAATACGCAGTACCCACATATGAGCTGTTTTTGGCTAGTGGTTCATGATGGAAGTGGAAATTGCAAGTCAGTCTAACTGACTAGAATAAGTTTAGGCCACACAGAGTTAGCAGCACCTACTGTGGGCCTTCTACTTGGCAATGTATCTGTATCCAGTTTTTTTTATACATTGAGCAGCCGGTGTGATTTGTGGAGGGGAAGGACCAGGTGCAACCTCAGGAAACTTTAAATCAGCATTTATGTCACATTAGTTCAACTGTTGAAGCTGTTATCTTCTCTCCTTTCTTAAAGTGGCCTGTTGAGGGTGATGACTCTGAATTAGCAGATCCAGTGTGGTTTGAGTTCAAGCCAGCTCTCCAGCACTTGTTTCTCTCCCCTTTAAAGGTGTCTAGACATGGCTGTTCCTCCTGTTCACTTAATCATTCAGAGATAGATAGATCAGTCTTTTGAGCTCAGCAGGTGGGAAAGTACTTTAAGGTGTTTATCAGCGTTCAAAATCCAGAACAGTCCCTGTGAAACCTCATATTCCCAGACCCCCACCGCCTGCTGTTTGTATACCTTCCCCATTGTGATTGTGCCTTTCATGTGCGTGCTCTACCGTACCCTCCTCACTTTATATTGTGTTTGTTTCCTGATGGCTTTGCTTTTTTTATGCTGTTTCTCAGATAGGATAGGGCTAAAGCCACCGAAAAACCAAACACAGACCACTGTAATTTTGGATGGAGCAAAGCGGTGGCTTTTCAAGAAAACAGAAAAAAAGGCCAACTCGTTACCTTCTAATTCAGGGAAAGAATTTTTTGTTTGTTTTACAATCGCGTTGAGGTTTTAACTGAAACAAAAGAACATTTCAGTCCTCTATTTTTGCTAAATACTACTGTGTTGTGTTTTTTATTTAGTCCAGCTTCTCTCTGTGATGCACGTGTGTATGCAGGAAGTCGGCGTCCGTTACATCTGAATAATGAAAGTGTTTTTTGGCTCTTGTCTCTCAAGTGTGGTTTTCAGTTTTAGCTGAGACAGAGGCAGGATGGTTCTGACTTTTCTTTCTCACAAAAGTTTGTGTGGCAGAGGATGTCTACAACTTTACCCCAAAAAAAGGTGTTTCTCACCAAACATGAAACATGCATTCTGAATGGGCTGAGGTGCACCGTTGCAGCAGTATTTTTCAAGAGCGTGTAATGAACAAAGCGGTGGTTGGTGTGTCTTTTTTTTTTGTGAAGAGGGGCCTAATGGTGCATGCAGAGGATGTGGTGAACCGGCCTGATTGCTGAGCAGCAGAGTGTGGAGTCTGTTCAGTGTGAAGAGCAGTAACATGATCTTCAGATGATGATGCTGATGCAGAGGGAGATAAGTGGAGCCAGTACCACAGTGTCCTTGTCTTTTTACAAACCGTACTTCACAGTGGACACAATCCAGTCCACTGTAGCAGGGCTGCAGCGAAGTGGTAAAGGGACGATGGGTAATCTTAGTAATTGTCTTTTTGTGCTGCAGTAGATAATAAGATGATTATCATTTTTAAGATTGCGTCACAGCATGAGACCATACAGGAGCGTGCACCCTTAAAGGTTATTACAATGAAAAGGGAGTAACCCACAAAAATGACAGGTATGGCTTTGTCTATAATTATTCTGATGACACGTGTGATTAGCAATATATATATATACCGATACATAAAGTCATCAACCAACACCCTTTTTGACATTGTTTGTTATTGTTTGATATTTTCTCATCTCCTTAGCGACTGCAGCTATATCTGACCAAATGGGTGTGATTTGGAGAATGCCTAGAATGTTATTTCACTCTCGGTCCAGGGAGAGGCTTGCAATTACATTCTTCTCCTTTTTTATTCAGTTGGGTGTGTGTGTCCAGGTAGGTGCCGACCTGTCAGGGGAGTGCATGACACACAGGGTAGAGTAAACACTAGACTGCATCACTGACGAGGGCTGTGGAAAGTTCACACTGGTGTATGGCCACCAGCGAGAGCCTTGACGAGTGTGATTCATGTCAGGAATATTCCCCCCGCAGCCACAGTGGGGGGAGAGAGAGAGAGAGAGAGAGAGAGAGAGAGAGAGAGAGAATCAAAGCTCTTTGAATGTATTGCGTCTGCTATGTTCATCAGCCATTCTTTCAGTACTCGCCTGTTGTAGAGCCAGTGCTTGTTCATTTCAATTCAGTGGATTTTGGCCCAGAGTTCGAGGAGAAGAAAAACAGTCTCAGTTAAGTACTGTAGTGATTCAGGAAAGAGGTGAAGAGTTGATGTAGGTGCAGGTTTGGCTGCCAGACATTTTATTATACAGAGGTTTAGTCAGCTATCTGCTTAGTTAATCTAAGTCAGTTGTCATGTATATTTGATTTGCACTGCTGCACATATGGTAACAACTTGCTTTTCCAATTGTCTTGTTCCTTGGAATAAATGAGGTGTTAATTCTTTGGATTAGCTTTGTTAAACATAATGATGGTAATGGTTTCCTGCCATGCACATATTTATTGGTTGGCCACTTCACTCTGCATGTTTAGCGGGCCATGTATTCTCCCATTTAATGCATTTATTCAGTTTTCAATATTAAATACAAATATAACTACTGGTTGCCATAGCTGTGTTGTGGTGACATGCTGATCATCACGGGATGAGTCATCATAATTTCTTCCACACTCCAGTAAATTACACACACAGTTTCAGACTTGTTTTTGCAGGTTTCACTCATTCAGCCAAAACTACCCATAACTTCATGTTACGGTAAACATGCTAAATTGAAGATTGCACATCAGTTAGGTGTTGTTGTGTGTCTACGAGCCTCAGCCTAAATGACACTTAATGTCACTGCCGCTGACCACCAGGGAGTTATACTAGTGTTTGTAGTGCGTGTCTTTTTTTAAAGACAAATAAAAATACCTGCAGTACTGTTTACAGTTGCATGCAGCATGCATATTTATGTGTGACAGAAAGAGTTCAAATTTTGCTATACATAAAGTATCTTAAATTGAGCATAGTCGTCAAACTGGTTCATCTTTATTCACTATGTAAAAGAGTAGCAATAAATATCAATAGTTTTTATTTTTATATAATATTTGTTTTGGCTTTAGCAAAACTCTGAGTACAAAATATAGTTCTCTGATTTTGACCCAATGGTATCCTTTTTAATAAGTCCTTTTAATTTTCACCATGAGAACAACCTGCGTTATTAAAAACCTTTTCCAAATGAAACCCTTGAGGCTCTCTGCATGTTAGAGCAATGAGTCCTGAATTTAGTCCTCTTCTTCCCCTTCATACCTCAACTATCTCTTTTGCCTGTAGGGACAATCCCTCATAGATGTGACAAGTACCAAAAGGCCTTTAACATATATTAGTATGACAGGCTTAAACTTCACCCAGAGAGCGGAAAATATCCCTGTGGAAAGTGATGCCTGAGCTCATGATAGTGTCTACCTTTTTGAACACCTCATCAATTGTGTCATCCCCAAGTATGCTTCATAACCAGAACAGCAACGCTGACATTTGGTTCTTTGAAGTCATTTTCAAGCTGCTAAACGTTTATATTTTTAGCCATTTTAATTTTGATTCATCAGTTAGTCCATCATGTGCTAGTTAAGCTCTTCATGGAGAAATATAGTGATAAAATACTTTTTTTTTAACGCTGCAAGGACAATCACATGGTATTACCTCACTAATAAAACGTGGAACAGAATCTTAAGGCGGCAATTAATGATTATTTCATTATTAATTGTTTGGTATATAAAATTAATGAATACAAATTGTCAAAAGCTCAGATCACAATTTCCTAAAGCTCAAGTTGATGATATTTACTTTACTTTATATTACTTACTGGCTGACAAACAGTCCAAAACATAAATATATTAAATTTTCACATAAGTCAAAGAAAACCAGTAAATCTTTAGCATTTTTGCTTGAAAAAGTGTGTAATATTTATGATGATCGATTGGCACACACAGACATTTTCATAGTTATGTTTTCGTAATCAACTGAAAATCAGCATTGTGTTTGTGTGTGTTTTTGTGTTAAGAGTGGATCCTCTTCTGTGGAGGCCGCCATGTTGAACTACCATGTTTCTACAGTAGCCCAGAATGGACAAACCAAACACTGGAATTTCTCCTACACACTTGGAAGACTGAGCTGTATTTAGATATTTGCAATTTGCAACTTCGCTGCTGGATGCCACTCAATCCTTAATACTGGTCCTTTAACTGAAATTGAAGATAGGATTTAGGATTTAATTCAGTGCTGTTATATTAGACCGAGTGTTCCCAGACATTTCCATATCCTGGGCCGCCACAAGAAATGCACACTAGACCACAGTCCCCCAGTTTGAGGGGATTTTGTCTTAAAGAAACAACTGAATAATTTTTCTATTTTTAGGTTTCAAGACTATAAAGCCATCAACAATCAAACTGGGATCACTATAAATTACAACCAATAAGAACGACCAAGCATATTTCTTCCCTTGGTGGGAATATTATTTTTCTCCTCTTGCTGGGGACAACCCACTCAATGACCCCAATTTGAAAACCACTGTATTAGACTACATTAATTTCAACTTGGTGTACCTTTTTTGTAAATCTGCAACTGACTATGTGAGTCAACGGATAAACCTGTCTAGGAAATCTGGATTCTGCCTCTTGTAGTTTGTCAAACCTTGACACCTTGCTGTTTGTCAGTATGTAGGAATGCTTGCAAGTCATAAACTTATCCATTGTGTTAGTCGGAAGTGAGAGTATTTCACTACACCTACCGGTTCCCATTCTCCTTCTGCTGACCTCCTGCTGTGCAGCTGTTGCTGTACTGCGATCCATAGAAATTACTTCATGACTAGAATTCTTCTCATTGTGTTGGGCGTGTCGAACTATAATGCCAAATTGGCACGGCAGCAAAAGCGTCGAGATGGCACCAGAACAGAATTCACCCCTTTTATGTGTATTGGCGGATGCCCAACAGTACTTTTTTGTTATGGTGAGGTTTCATCAAACTGTGTTCAGCACTTTGTTTTATGTGAGCAGCAGTGCAGTCTTAAAACCTCATCAGTGGCCAATTAAGCACAGCCCATGAGTGTGCCACTTATCCTCCCCACCACTATGTGTTGTTTTTCTTCTCTGCTGTTTGTCCGCTCTGCCTGCATTCCTCCGCCATCCTTCACCATCCCACCAGCATTTTTTTTATGACGCTAACAGTGAACGTTTACGCAGAGAATTAGCAGGGTGCTCGGTCGATAATGGGCGCTCTATAGGAGAAGCTGCACAAGCCCATGGAACTAATTGACACCCCCAAAGGCTGGGAAACTTTCAGACGGCTGCTCCCTGTCATTATCACAACTGCACTTATTTCTGGAGGCCATAGCCACAATTAAGAGACCCTAATGATGGTGAGCCCAGTAACCCTGCTAATTGGCCCAGACTGTTAATAAGTAACTGGGTCTGCACTGCGTGTCCCAAACACTTGTGGAATGTGCGGCAGATGAAATGGGCCAGTGTTTGGAGGGATTTGGGGGAGTAGCATGGCTGATGTCCTAGATCCACTTCACTTTAATTCCAGTTTTTCTTGCTTACTCTTCATGCTTTACGACACTTTCTGCATTGTGTAATCTTTGTAATCATTGACAGGATTTTATTACTTTATTTATGGACATTGAGTAAGATTATAATTTACATTTCACTGCTGGCCACAGTATATCTTTCTATCTACACTGTCTGTTATACAGTACTTTGGATCAACCTGAACCATAAAGTGTGATAGTAAACTTCAGATATCTATGAATAACAGGTAACATTATCAAACCATGGCAAGGCTGTAATGACTTGAAGACATTATCTGATCTTCTAAATGTTCTTACGTGTCTGTATGACTTAACTTTGCTCTCAAATAATCATGCATGAGGAAAGTTAAATGATTATGATGAAAATAATAAATCTAATACCAAGAAGTTCCAAAGTAAAGTGTAGTTTGTCTTGATAATCTGGAAAAGGAATCCAGCATGGTCTGTAGAAAGGAACAACAACTTCTGTTGGTGCACGTTGTGCATTTTCTTTCCAAGGCTGATGCAAGACCAAGCTTTGTTTGGGTTGTGAGTTAAGCAACAGATGATGTAAAATCGTTTGGGTGTAGACATTGAATTTTTCGAGAGAAGCAGTCTATACTTAAAATAGCTTATGTCATTGTCTACATGTGGACCTATATATTACTTGTTACACTAATGTCTTCACTTAAAATAAATGCCCATTTTCTCAGTGAGACTAGTTTCAGTCACAGATACAGCAGCTGTGTGTTTGCGTGTGTTTGCATGTGTTTGCCTGCATTGTGCAGCTGTTGATGTGTTTTATTAACCTGTAAGCATTCATCCCATCATCACTGTACGCTGCAGAGCTCTGCGTCTCCACATGCAGTCATACAATGAAAGAGCTTTGTCTACAACTATGAGCAGAGTCTGAGTAAACTGGCAGTTGAATCACAGGTTCATCCTCAAGTTGAGAAGAATATCATCATAACTATTAATGCTTTTGAAGTGTATTCTGTTCTGATTTTGGCCAACTAATATTTTAGAAGATCTTGTAAATACTAATTTGAGTTTGTTTATCTGTTATCTATTGTCATGTTTTGTAACCCAACCTTTAGCACATTGCTGATAAAGTAAATCATCCTTTTTATGTAGTGTCAACATTGTTTACACTGATAACTCGAAGAGAATTTGACAGAGAATTTGAGTGACTTGTTGGTAGGACTGCCTAAATATAACCCCAAAACATGCAGGCATTTTGTCATGAAGCAGCTCGAGTCAAGCGACATGAAGCTGAATAGCCAATAATCCACGGCAGGTCAACAGAGATAATGTTGCTTTTAGCATGGATGGATCCTCGTTTTTGTACGTCTACAGAGATGATCTCATGCAGAAAGTTTCAGACCGCTGGAGAACATCAGCATGCCAGAGACAGTAGCGCACACTACACTGTCATCACCAGTTATAATTTTGCAACGTGTAATATTTTGAAAGCTCAGTCGTCACCAGTAATTAAAGATCTACATCTGGGGGATCTGTTACTTGTCTATCCTGTCATGTAGCTGTGTAAAGGCTTACATATAACATGATAGTGAGTGCTAACTGTCAGCCCCAAAATATTATTTAAGTGAAGTGAAGATTTGTCCCATTTGGGAAAAAGTGGATGATGTTACAATATGATTTGTTCTTCCTAATATTGCTTTAATGCGGTTCCAGAAAAAAAATCCATCTTTAAGAGAATAGAACCATCAAAACTCATCACATGGTTTCACTATGCATTGACGTCTCTAATTATTTGATTTTAAACACTACATTTGCTTTTAGATTCACAAATTCTCAACAGACTTTGTGAAAAGAAAACATCTGTAAATTTTCGCGCAAACCTTGGCCATACAAATATAGAATATCCACTAACGATATATTTACCAAATAGCTGAACTGTTAGACACGTTTATTTATACAGCCGATTCTTATAAACATGTCTTAGAGGGCTAACATACTACATGTCATATATCATACAACACCACTGTATACTGTAGACCCATACATTAAACACAATGGTCACATTGAAACACAGCGAAATGTTTAGCTCCTTGTACACTCATGCACAACTTTTTGTTTGCATTTGTTTTACTTGTCTTGAAAGAGCATTTGGGTTTAATGAAACTCTTTGGCTTTGCAGGCACTTTAGCAATGTTAGTCATGTGTCTTTGGTTTCAGATTCTTCCCATTCCTGTTTGATGTGGTTATACAATCCATGTCAAAGGGACTTATGCCAGTGGAAGTGAGGTGTTGCTGGAGATGAAAGGCCCCTTATGCAAATGTTCACTGTCTTCACCTGTTGATCTAATATTAAGCCTGGCCAACAAAAACACATGTCTCTGAACACATTCAGCTGTGCATATGTTTATGTCCTGTCTTTCTTTTTCAGGGTTTTGACAAGAGTGCGTGCTGACCTGATCACTCAATGGCGCTGACTGTCAACCTTATCGGCCCTTCACCATGGGGCTTCAGAATATTTGGAGGAAGGGACTTCAAGAAGGCCATCACTGTATCAAAGGTACTTTGTAACAGCCGCCATGTTGATAAACCCCATCACACCTTATCAAACCATATCCTCTGTTTTTGTAAATGCTCAGCCTGTAATGGCATGTTATGCAAACTTCCTCCTCACTACGTCTCTTTTCTTGTCTTTGTTTGTGTTCGCGGGCTGCTTCGTACCTATTTCCTTGACTACAGAAGCCGTTAGAATAGAATGGAAGTAGATTACATTAGAAGGAAACCACTGATTACAGTAACAGTGGAAGTTGAGGTGGGAGGTGAGGGGTTCCTGATTCCAGAGTGAAGTGTGGGTTTATGTTTCTGTGCTAACGTGTATGCTTTACCACGTGCACCAGTAAATTCGTTTTGATGCACGTGACTGTTGTTTTTACTGACCACATTTTCCCAGTCACTGCTAAAAAAAGGAAAGGAGGAAGAGAAGAAGCGGAAATATTACCACTGTAAGTAGACAGTGCCCAGTAAACACCACCAGGAAACTCAGACTAACGTCTGCATGCCAGAGACACCCAGTTTTGCCCCCTGCACCTCCTGGTCCTACATCACCACCTCAGCCTGGATTCTTTCCAGTGAGACTTCCCCAGTAGCTCCTCAGACCATAAAGGATAAATTATGGCAAAACCATGGCAGGGCACCAGACTTCAAAGGCATTTATTATTTGCCCCCTCTTGGCAAATTATGCTAGAAAAACAGGTCTTCTCATGAATAATGGGGCTTTAAGTCCGATTTTGTTACTGCTATCCAATAAACAACACCAGCATGTTTGCTTGTCTCAAATATCAAACGGGTTCTCTAAAGTGACTGGAATTCCTGCAGAGGGAAAAACTTCATCACTGACATTGGTTTGCATAGCCCAGTTTGAGACCCCCCCCCCCCAGCAGATAGCAGCTATAGCAGCTATAGGGTTGGACCATCTGAAGTGGTTGGCACTTGGCATAGAACGACATGGATGCCCTCTTTTATTCCTGTTGGCCTGAAAGATAGCTTAGCTCTGATTCAGTCGGGCACAGGCCCTGGAAAAGAACCCCCAGCTGCTCTTAGTTTATGTGAAACCAGGCGTGTCCTGATCAGAAAAGGCACGCACTATTGTGGGTCACCACAGCAACGCTTGATTGCCTCTCGAGTGGGCCCACAGACATGGCACCTCTGCCCTCTTGCTTGGCTAAACTGACAAACAGCCTGTTGACTGGCATTCTTCTCTTTGCATCCATTTTTTTTTTGCATTGAGATTTAAGAATGAGACTTTCATCCTCTCTGATTGGCTCTTTATGTATTTTGTTTGGCATTTCTTGTTTTATTGCCTCTCTTTGTTTTTAATTGTGAGGCGAGCACTGTTTGTGGCAAATGTCATACTTCTCTCTAAAGTTTAAAGGCATACTATGCATTTTTCCGGTTTTGTCAAACAGCTACCCCTAGAGTCGCTGCGGAGTACTTGTATTTAACGTTACCTGTCGTAAATACCACTCACCAGAGCCGTCTCTATATATGGCTCTGCGTCTCTGCACTCACGGCCTGATCCCCTCCCCCCTGTATACCGGTACATGTTCAGTAGGATGCAAGCGTCGGACATCGAACAGGCAAAGATAGATTCCGAAGATGTCTACTGACCAGGTAACGTCTGAGTGAATGCCTGCTAGTGTCTTCCATTGAGGCTGCTTCTTATGTCGCTGATGTATGTGACGTTGCGCCGTAAATCAATTCTTGATTCTCGCGATATTTGGCGGGACACTACCTTTCAGACTTTCATTGCTGGTTCTGCCAACGGCGTCCCTCTCCTGCTTTGCTATTGAGATGATTCGCTATACTACGAGTTTGTTTACCATCGAAATGACTTCAAAGCTGTTATATTAAGGTACATAATCTTGCATAGCGTGCCTTTTAAGCGGTTGCAGCATCAACCTCCACATTTTGCCTTTTTGCCTGTGTGTTTGGGTATGTATGCCTGGAACACAGGAACCAAGCTGAAAGTGGTGGCTAAGACTTTACGTTTTGGCCCATTAGTGTGGAATTCCCCCTGATGTGGTGCTATAGCATTGGCTTTGACATGCGGTGAGGCTGGTTGCAAAGGTCAGGCCCAGTCAAACCATCAGGTAGTGTCACACTAATGACTTCTTCCCGAGGGTGTCATGAATCTGTCTGCTGTTGACCAGCACTGCCTTATTCCATGTGTGTGAAACTCTGCATCTGTTGGTATTTACTCTGTTATGAGTTGTAGAGAGAGACAGTTGGATGAAGAGCGTAGCAAACGTGTGAAGCAACTCCTCAACACCTTTTCTCATTATCTCATTTGTTGATGCTGAATCTGAGCCACTGACATGTTGTCCACACAGCCATAAGATACAGAGCTGTCTATGCTTGCCAGATGCATCCATAAAGTATCATGTTCAGAGCAGGACCTGGGGCCAGTTGTACATAACTGGAGCTCATTCTTCGGTTCAACAGGTCAACGGGGGCAGCAAGGCAGAGCAAGCAGCACTGCAACCGGGCGACATAATTTTGGAGATCAACGGTGAAAACACGGGCGACATGCTGAACGTGGAGGCCCAAAACAAGATCAAGAACTCCAAGACCCAGCTGCAGCTAGTGGTGGAGAGGTACACTGGCCCGCAATATTCCTGTAGATTGTATTTTTATGGTGTACATATGTATATGTTGGATTTATAAACATAAAATACATGCAATACAGTCCTCTGCAACTTTCTGCAGCATAGTTCCCCATATGAATATCTTAAATGTCACTAATGTTCTGTGTTTGGGCCAAGACCACAATTGCCCCAGCTTCCATCCTTCTTTACACTGTTTTTAACTTTATCATTCAAGCACTGTGCAAACAAAACAAGTGATTGTTATCAGGGGAAATGCCAGCATGTATGAGAAACTACACAGTTCCTTTCCCTGATTCCCTTAGTAAACGCTGTTTTGAGATTTGACAAGACCTTGTTTGGATGACATGGAGTTACTACTAAAGGTTTTCCTTTGAGCCAGGACTGCTTTTGGCTGGTATTTCTAATTTGTTGCCACTGTTGCCCCTTGTTCCTCTTTCTTAGACTCTCATTTTGCACACAGACACACACTCACACTCTCGCGCACATGCGCTTTCACATACTTCCTCCTTGGATGTCCTATGTCCATGTGAGAGAATTCTTCCCTGCTGACCTCATGTCTCCCTCCAAGCCAGAAACAACACCATTACTCCTTGCTTGCCCAGGACAATGCCACTATGTAGTTCTGCCATGTCTTTAATCCCACTCTGGTAACTGTCAGTCGGTTTCAGTCGGTTATGTACCTCACAGGCTCCTGTCCTCATCAAGCATATCACCTACATCAGACAAGCTCTCAAGGAGTTTGTAATTGAGTAGCATAAATCTGTAGTGTTAAATTTGTCTTTGCTCAGTTGAGAGCGCTCCCTTTTTCCAGCTCAACATCTGGCTGGCAGTTTATTCTCATCAAACCAGCAGTGATGTGGGTTCTGGCTGTCATCACACAGAAGGTGGTGCCCACTGGAAGAAGCTGGGATCAGCTCATCTGAATAGAGGAAAATAATGTTTTCTTTTGGGCGTATCTGCTGTATACAGAAGCAGTGATTAATTGTTGACTTCGCTAACTGGGGTTATTCTTACATGACAAAGGAACCACACCATCACAGTTTTGTCAGTGACCCTTAAAGCTTTTTAGTCTGGCTTTGTTTGCAGCTTTGTTTTTGAACCTAATTGTTCACTGATGCCTCGCAGATGATGTCACGTTGACTAAAGCATTATCATTCTCTCTGTCTAATGGAGTTAGTCATCAGAACAACTCATGGGTATAACTTTACCACACAGCTATACTGTAGAATAGAGTTTCCTCTTTGATACTGAGACACTGTTATACTTTAAAAGTGCTGCTGTTACAATAACAAATACCTTATGAACCCAATTGCAGATACGCTTGCAGGGCTCAGCAATAAGGATTGCTTGCTTGCCTGTGGCAAGTAAAATGCCATGTTGGACTAGTAAATCTATGTTCCATCTCACTTCCTTCACATCTCTGTTGAGAGTTGCACATGCAAACAGTACCCATGAGGCACTCACAAGAAAGTAGCAGTAGATAAAGACAAAGTTTATGAGCTGAAGCGAAAGCAAGCGTTTCAATTCTCCATGAGAACAGGAGTTTAGTTGGGTGGTAGAGGATGTGGGTGAAACTTCAACTATGTATTGCACAGTTTGCAGCAAGTTTGAGGGCAACGCGGATAAAATAGGGTTGCTTTTCAAAGAACGTAGCTGGAGGGCCATAACAAGAGCTGACAGAACCAGCTAAGAGGGTCTTTGCTGTTATTCGATTTGTAGAACAGTTTGTAGAGGGGCAAGTAACCATTGACTTTGGGCAAGTATAGTTCTGAGCCTCTCCTTGCCCAACCAGGCAAGTGAAAAAAAATAAATGAATCCTGGCTTGATCTTTGAAGCAGCAGGACTAGGTATCGAACCTCAATAGGAGGTTTATATATATATATATATATATATATATATATATATAATATATCCAAAATCACATAACAACAACAAATGATCAAAATGTGTAGTAGCATAGAGGTACCCACAGTTGGAGTCGAATTTCTGGTCTAGTTTTTGTTAACTTTGATCAGAAAGTACTAGATTTTTGTCTGCTTGTGTTTGGACAGCACTGAACATTTGAGACTTTGCTTATTTTGACAAATGTAAAACGGGAACTTTGAAAAATGTGATCCACTTTCTATAAGTAAAGTATGGAAAAACGGTATCCCTTAATTCACTTCGTTATCATTACTGAAACTCTTGTTATCATACAACCTCTAGTATCAAATCATATTTTCAAATGATACCAAGTTCTAAGCGAGCAAGTGGTGTCTTGCCTCATCCTAAATAATGGTCACAGCTTGACCCCAAAGTATGTACCTTTACTCTGGATTTGAGTCCTCTTGAACTGGTCAATGTTGCGTTCTTTTTAATATTTCAGTTCTCAGAATGGAGAGGTATTCTTTCAGTGCAAACATTTGAAGAATCTGCCTCAGGCAGGTTAACTCCATGTCCTCCTGATGACAGCTGTGAACAGCTAGTATCAGCAAAGCGTTTCAACTGCTGATTTATACCAGTTTCACATCCCTGTAGTATAAAGTCACATATAGCATTTTTACTAAAAGCAAATTCTTCTTTTGTAAAGGAGATGGTTAACCAGAGGTCATCGATTACACCCTACATACTGATCTGACCACTAACCTAAAATACGTCTCATTGTCTTAAGACCACGACTTATGATGTACATGGTAGAACGTTTAAAGCTGAAGGTGAGCATGTTCCTAATTCAAAGCAATGTATTTTTCAGGTCTGCCACATTAATATCTCTCCTACGGGAACAAATGTCTTACCACTGCTGTATCAGTTTTCGTCTTCTTGCCATCTCTCTCGTATGCAGTATGTGGATCCCAAGCCACGAGAGGTGTGTTTCTGGATGATTTACCACAGGCATCCAGGCCTTCCTGTGTGCCTCATTACCCTGGGCTCAACCAAAAGCCAGTCAGCCTCTGGCCCTGCAGCCAAGGGGGCACTTTGTGTTTGCATTGGCGCTTATACGGCCCATATTTTTCCCCCCAAGTTCAATGATGGAATTGCTTACAGAATGTGTTTTCTATTTAAGAAAGTAAAACAAAAGTGACTAGTTGGAAAGACTAGATCCATTGGGAGAATATTTTCAAAAGGGGGACAGAGTCCGCAGTACTCGTCTTTTGCAGTAATCTCTAAGATTCATGGGAACATACCAATGGATGTTCGCCAGGACATTAGAAAAAGGGCCGTCCAAAAATGAAGTTCAGTCAGACGACCCTTAAAAAATTTATTATTTTTTCTACACTCAGCATTTTCCTTGCACGTTCTTAAACATATTGCATAGGGTTAGGGTTCCCAGTTTAAATACCTTACTGATTTATTTAACATGAACTTCCTTACTGCCTTGGTTTTTTTTTTAAATTCAGCAGCGATAGGATCAGACTTCACCCCATATGTTACATAGATGGAGAATGAAACTTTGGGTTGTCAGAAATCATCAGTGTTGGCAGGCAATTGATCTCTGTGGTTTCCTGTCTTCAAGACCTGAACCTCCCAGCCCTGGACAGACCAACGGCATCAGCACCCCTGAGCAGCTCACCGGACGCTTCCAGGTCAGTGCTACAGCTCCACAGGAGCTTCAATCTGTCTACAGTTTGTATTGATTACTGGACGGAAATATGTTTTTGATTCAAGACATTGCTCACGAGTGCCTGTTTTATTTGGATAATGTGTTTTGACTGCACTTTGTATGCTGCTTCATTTCTACTAATACATGCGTCACACATCTGTTTATTACATATCTGCTCATTTCACTACTTCAAGATGGAAGCAACACAAGATTTTGTAGTGATTTAGTACTTTGTTCCTGTGTTTTACTGAAAACCACCACCTACAACACATGGTGATACTGAATACAAAATCTGTAGACCTGTTTGACGACACAACATTTACTTCTGTGTACATTTGTGTGCTGACATTCTCACAGGTGCCCATTCTGCTTCTCAATTAAGCCTTTCACTACTTGTATGGCAAAAATGCAGTCATAAAGATCAAGTTACACTCAACAGATACTAATGCAATAACTTGTTTTGTAGGAGGCAGTAATAGTGAGTCGAGATGAGAATCAGAACTACAGAGAGTACACCATCTCCAGCCCTGCGTCGCTGTCCCCTGGACCTTATTCACCAGATCCTCCTGCCAGCCCTGATGGGAAGAGAGAGATGCTGACACCGACAACCAACAAGAGGTAGCTCACTGACCTGTATTTAAATTTTCATGCATGCAGATCTGATTGAAATCACCCTAATTGGCTGCAATATATTACATGAAAATATTAGTGCATTAGTGGAACTTATATTAGCTTGTTTGCAGCATTTGGAGTTGTTAGACAGATACTGAACCCTCTGCCAGCTTGTCTCCTCCTTTGTTGTTAATGTGCTAACCAATGTTGTAACAAAAGCAAAGGATTATACTGTCTGAAGTCACACACATAAGCTCTTGTTACTAAAGTAACTGTAAATTACAGTTTGGACAATCAGCCCGAAAGATAAGATTAAAAAGAAATTATTTCAGCATGAGCTGGTCTAAGAGAAAGTCTTGGGACATTTTAGAGCTTGACATTTCAGATGGACGGTCTTTTTCAGAAACCCATCCATTCACTGCTTAAATAGGCTTATATCTGGACAAAAGGTTGCAACAAGTGCTCTCTTGACTCCACAAACGGCCCAGAGTCAATAGGTACGGGAACAACAGACAGAAAGTGGAGCCATGGGATTGTACTGTAGTAACAAAGGATATGCACAGGATATCACATTCCACCGTTTGCATTCACTTTAACAAAGGGCAGAATGTGGAACGTTCACCGCGCTTTCTCTGAGCATTTGTTGACTCTCCTGGACAAACTTTTAATAGGTCACAGTTTAAACAAAAATTTTCTCCCTCGTCTGGACCGATGATTATAATTCCTAGTGTCATCATATTTATAGATTTGTCCAACTTAATCATAATAAATCTATGTTTCTGTATATAATATTCTTAGTAGAATTGTGCAGTAGATACTGTTAAATTTGAATACACACGTAATTTTAGGAAAAATTGTTAATTTCCATTTAAATATTAGTTTTTCAAAATAAAGTTTACTGTTTTAATTTTAAACCGTGTGTGTGTGTGTGTGTGTGTGTGTGTGTGTGTGTGTGTGTGTGTGTGTGTGTGTGTGTGTGTGTGTGTGTGTGTGTGTGTGTGTGTGTGTGTGTGTGTGTGTGTGTGTGTGTGTGTGTGTGTGTGTGTGTGTGTGTGTGTGTGTGTGTGTGTGTGTGTGTGTGTGTGTGGGCGCATGTGATAACAGGACATGAATGTCCAGCAAATACCTGATTGATGCAAAAGTCATAAAAATATTGCAAAATGATCCACAATAGCCTAATATTTCCAGAGATATTGATGGAATAACTGCTATACCACAAACAATTTAATAAAACATCTCAGAGGTTTGACACATGTGTCTGTTGTGGTATGTCCTGTCACGTTTCCCACTCCAAAATCATATTTATCATTGACTCTGTTGCCTTTGTTACAGTATCCAGCTGCGCTCATGGTCCCCAGAGGAGAAGAGTCACAGGCTGTCCAGACCACTGTCACAGGTTGGTTTCTGTCTTTTCTTTAAACAACTCCATTCATTCTTCCAGCTTTCATCGTCAACCATTTAAGTTAATAACTGTCCACCCTGCAAAAGAAAAGCAGCTGAGTTCCAGCCATAACATGTCTTTTAATTAGATGGAGACAGTTGGTTCTCAGTAAGCATGAAATTATGGTTTCCTCCAACCAGAAACAAGAAAAAGGAGTTTCTTGGGTTCCTGTACTTTCTCTGCTAAGTTTGCTTCTTAATACTTTAGATCAGGGTTTTCAAACCCTCAGCCTGCAGGACATTTCCGGCCCTTCATCCAGCCTGTGGCATGATGTCAAAAAATATAATATAAGCTGTCTTGCAAGATTAATATTGTTATTTTTTCAATGATCTTTCTAGTTGTTTCATCTTAATTTAAACTACCTCCTCATTTCCAATTTAAAAACACAATGATGGGCTCAGGGCATACCGATTTGGGATCTAGGGGTCGCACAATATACAAATACATGCTAATGTTTAAATAAATGTTATGTGTCATTGCAAAGTCAATCTGTTATTTATCTGTTGCTGAAGTTCACTTGGTCAGTACAGCTGGAGGTTTTGTCCTCTTGGCTTTGTGATGTATTTATTTTGACTACACTATCAGTCTGAAAGAAAAACATTTGAATTCCTAGCCTTTCCTCCTGAATTGTTACTCTGATGCCACAGGAGATGCCCTACAAAAGGTTTGTGGACTCCAGTGTACTGTATGTAAAGGCAGGATACAGAGAGGCTTTGACATTTTTATAGCAGGGAGTGTATAAACTTCAAAGGTCAGTCTTTCAAAATATCTGACATTAAGATGAACAAGAGTCTGGAGCTGTTTCATTCAGAGCCTGTGCCACGGAAAAAAATGATTACTTTCCGTCATAACAATGGCCTTAACCTTTAGTTGTCTGAATGGAGACTCATTAGTCTCAGTAAGCAGTAAAATATGGGAAGTGGTAAAATACAGACTTGGGGTTATCATGCAGACTGCAGCTAAACTATGCTGTGCGAATTTACCATTCCAGCAACAAAACCAAGAAGGGGGACTCAGGCGTCTGGAAAGACTTCAGTGAGTTAAAGACAGAAAATGTTGTGGGAAAGTTCATCATGAGCTATTTCAGCTATGCCTACATGCTTAGTCTCAAGCATGGGTCCCACTGAAGATAGAACATGTGAGATGACGGAACAGGAAAAAACATACAAGACCTTTTGTATTGGCCATTTTTATAACTCTGGACCTTACATAAAGTTAGATAAATATGCAGAGGTTTGAACTTCAAAACATTCAAGCGTTCCTTCTAAGAGGCCGCTGGCTGAGAAGGTCCTTTTTTTTTAACATTTTCTCTAAGAGTTTGGGATTCTTTATGTTGTTTACTTGTTAAATGGGATTCAGATGTACTGTCACTCACAGCCGTGTCCAGTCTGAAGATTTGTCCACTCTCAGTAGTTTTGATCTTTTTTTGCACTGGGATAAAGATGATGTAACCGGAGTCCAAAGAGCTCTTTTGAGGATCCTGTCATTACCTTTTGACCAGTCTATAGAAATAAAATGCTTCTGTTATGTCATGGCTGCCATGAAATCTGGTCCCAGCAAAATAGAGTCTTTAGGAATGCAAGACCAAAATCCCTCCTAATAACTAATTTGATGCAACTGCAAAACCACATGGCATGTTGTCTCCTTCTAAGTTGTTTTAGGGCAGGGAGGGTGTGCAGTTTGTCTGTGTGTGCAGACATGAATCAGCTCTCTGACTGGCTCACTGTTGAGTTCTATTAAACTGACATGAGTGTGATATGTGATGTTTATTTGGACAGTAGACTGAACTGGAGATAATAAAGACGTCTAGTGTCAAATCCTTTACCCTTGGAGTTGAATTAGCTTTTTTTGTGCAGCGGATCATTTTGGCTGAAATAATAATAATAATAATAATAATAATAATGTTTATAATATAAATTACCCATTTCGAATTCCAATAGTGAGTGTTGGAACTTTTAAAGTGGATTGTACACATGAAGATCCCTTTACTTGTCACAGGATTATTCCTCTGCCTGTGAAAACAGTAGTATAATATCTTCTGTGGCTCTATCAGATGATATCAGTATCAGGGTTATTTTGTATTTGGCTTGACCCTTTAAATCAACAGGAATTATGTGTTATAAACTTGGGGTTTGAGTCTGACAGACATGATCATTTACCAGGCAGAAACATAATAGTTCAGTTGCATCATGGGTAATGTAGGATTCAGTATTTTTGCTTCAAGGTTTACCTTTTTTTTCCAGATCTGTCTCTCACCCCCAACCCAATGGAAGTGCAACACTAAATTGCTGGAGCATCGCTTACATGTAGCTAAAAAGTGTTTTCACATCCAGTCCTTTTGGCTAAATGGTCTACTAGTTCAAGTACTCGTGCTTAATTTACTGATAGTACATTTTCTCAGTGAAGGCATTGTAAGGCTCTGTTAAAAACAGATGCTGATGCTGAGCATCAATCCAAAGCCACATTCAAAAACCCACTGTAGAGTTATAGTGAGGCTGCGGCCAGCAAACCATGGCGGAGCAAACTTCCGTATTGGCCTACCAAAAAACACATTAGAAGCTGTGTTGTGGCTGAGGGCTCCATCAGCGAGCCCTTAGGAATGAACGTGCTGCTGTCATAGCTGTCCGTCCGGGACGGCCTTGCATGTTTGTGGTATTTATGGAGTCGCCCCTTTTCCCATTCTCCTTACCATTTTTAAATATACCCCTTTCTTTCATTTTTCTAATGTTGGAATCCATATTGTCTTGTATCCTCTGGGAGACATTACATTCTTTCTATCTCCTTCTGCTCCAATGTCAACTGAGCCTTTTTTGGCTTTTTTCAACTGTCCATTCAGTGTCTCTGAATTAATATCAAGCTATATGTTTTGAGAATATATGTTTAGTGAAGCCTGCAATTTGAGATGTTTAATCACTGCTTTGTCCGCCCTTTTTTACTTTCTATGGTCTTGAAGCTGATTTGGATTGCTTGCTCTGCCGTCTATGCCTGACAGCCTCAGTGTTTACCATCATCCAGCCTATTGGACGAGAGTTTTGGGTTTTGGCTGACCCTTCCTCCAAGGGATGTCTACCCTGGTTTTAAAGTAGTGACGAGCCTCCCACCGCAGTGTGATTAGTGAGTGGAGTTCTTTCAGAGCGCTCGGTGGGGAAATGGCTGGGAAGAGGCCTGCCATGGGCACACTGTGCATTATGCTGCTTGGGCTGGCAGGAACACAGCAGCCCAGTGAGTGCTAAGATGTGGAGCCTCCATGACAAGGGCCTCTGTCCTGCCTGAGAGGTGCAGAGTGCTGCTGTATCAGGTGATCAGCCTCTCTGAAAAGCTCCTAAAAGGCTTTTCCACCCCTGTTTTGGCTCCCTGAGTGAGGAGAGTGGGATGCGCAACAGGATCCCCCATTTTCCAGAGTGTTGGATATCCTGAGAAAAAGTCTGTGTACAATAGTGGCTGTGATGGCAGAGGCTGTGGAAGGCTGGTGCTGTTTTTTCCCTCGCGTCACAAGGCCTGTCGTTGTGTGATGGGAGCTGGAAGAGATGGGGTCAGGGTGGAGCGGTGGGGACACTAGGGAGCCTGCTGACATTCCCAAACTGTACTTAAGCCCTCACACCACTCTGCTCAGTCCAGATGCTGCTCAAACACAGCAATGTCTTTTGTGTCTCAGCCCTAAACTGCCTGCAGCACCACACAAAACACATGTATGATAAAGATAAGAATTGCATGTTTAAAAATGGACACTACACTTCATAACTTTCAAAGCCCTTGACTTGAATGCACTTCATCCTTATTGAGGACTTTTGGCCTTTTGTATGTTTTACCTTTTAAACTTGACTGTAAAATATTTTCCCTTGGGAAAAAGATGTCTGCATTGACCTTTACACTACCCATAACATTTGGCAACGTGAATGAATGTTTTTCAGGAAATCTATACATATCTTGATCAAGAGCTCTAAAGGGTTGTTTCTTGATTAAGGAAAGTGACCTTTAATCAGAAGGTGTAGGTTCCAGTCCTTGCAGGAAGCATTCACCCCGCTGAAGCAACAGTCCCCACCTATTGGCTTACTCTGACCTCTGATCTTCTTAAGAGGAAAGATGTGCAAAGAAAATGCATTGCTATAGGCATGTGGTGGAAACCCCTGTAGGAATATGTGATTAAAGCTATATCCATTAATGGTTCTAAAATGGCACTGATGCGCTTAGTTAGGTCTAGCTTTGTACCCTATGGTTTGTTTTGTCGTGCCACAATGTGACTGACTGTTTTCATGGACTTTAATATCTACTAGCTCACCACCATGACAAAAGGAGCAAAGGCATCCTAGATTCCTGGAAGCCGGGCATGAGATTGTATCTGAACTGGCCGGCCACCGTCATGATTCAGAGCATCTGTTTATATCATCAAGAAATAACCACAACAGGATCTCTGTTGCGATGCACAGGGCCAAAACCAAACTGCTCTGACCCGTCACTGGGCCATTAGGACCAGGCTCCATGTCTGGGTTTGTAGTTGCTGCGCTTTGAGGTTCCTGAGGGTTGCCTTGGTGGGCTGCCTGATCCTGTGCTGGGATAGGGTGGTTGCTTTATAAATATATCCCTCCTAGTGTAGGATGGCCAACTCCTGCAGGGTGACACTCAGTGTTGGCCCGTTGCAGACCAAACTTTTCCTCTTTATGCTAAATTTGGTGCAGTGGCCTTGGCTGTATGTCATGTGTCACTAAGCTCTTTATCCAGAGAGGGCAGGGTAAGTATTCATCCATACATCCTCTATTCCATACAATTTCTGTCCACCATTCTCCTCACACCCTGCCAGCCAGCACGCCAGCGGCTAGCTTTGTCCTGCTCTATTCTGGAGGTTGTGGAGGACTGGAGTGCAAATCTGTGGTCATCGTTTTGGACCAAAAATGAAGACCTGGCATGCAGGAATAGAACTTAGTTTGTTTTTTAAATTGAGTCACAATGTAAAACTT